AGTTCATTAACATCTGGAACTTACCTTCTTTAAACTTTTCGTCAATATTTTCCAGCATCTCCTAAAAGGTTTACTCACCACATAATCCACTGATGTGATCCCACAGTTTAAAACAACCAGACATGGAGGATGTACAGAGAGAGCAATACTGTCCGGTCCTATAAGGCCTCACCAGTCGTCCTTTCACCTCCCAGTTCCCCCTTTGACACACGTTATTCACACACCATTTCACACTAGAATCTTATCAAAAATAGCAATGTGCTGCTTTACCCTGGGTTGTATGCACAGACAAATATGTCCCACACAGTATTATTCTTCAAACACAGCTGACTCGCACAGCCCACTTTATTGGAGGTTGCCCAAACGAGCTGGAGCACGAATGGAAACGAAAGCATAACAAAAGTGATCATTCCAATTGAAACATTGAGGGCAACGGTTTATCTCGTACCTGTATGTAATGGCTGCAAGTTCTTTTCCCCTGACACTTTCCTGTTGAATATATGAAGTGTTGTCCCTCGTTGTACCAGGAGTCAATGGCGTTGGTTAAAGAGGCCGCACTATGAGCAGATTCGTAAGTGTTCCAGCCGATATGTGGAAATGAGGAAAACCGCTGTGGAGGGGCCCTGCTGTCACAACGAACTGCCCACTCTTCTGCCCGTTCAGCCAAGAATGGACTCCATTCCTGCCGACAATGTGGAAATAATTGTTCTCTGTTGGTACATATTTGCCTGAGTCATTTAGGTTCAGAGTAATTTTTACTTTCAGAAAATGGGTATGGGATATAAAATCTATCTACCGTCAAATTCACAAATGTATTTGTATGTCACAGTCTACATGTTTAAAAGTATACATCATAATATTGCACACTACTTGTGGTTTAGCTAGGGCAGGGTTCATGATTCAGTTATCTGCTCAACACAGATTAAAACACTTCTGCTTAACACAGAAAATTGCCCAATCAAAGAGAAGAGGGGACTTTTAGAAGCAGCGATGGGATAACAATAAGAAGACGCAGAATGAACATTAATTATGATCAAAAATAAATGAAATTGTCATCTAGGCCTGGGCTCTACTGTTTTAATGTAATGTGACCGAAGAACATATACATACACACACGATTTGGTTTGCAAGTGTTTCAGCATCAGTCCCACAGGAGTCAGATTTAAGACACTGGGAAATAGTAGGAATTATTTAAAAACAGTACAGATCCTTTGCGTGGACACAAAAATATCAACTTAACATTCCAGGTGCTCTTGAATCTGTAATGCCATTTTTATGCCATCTGAGTGTGTGCAAATTGTGAAAGGAAAATATACCTAATCACATCTTTCGAAAAGTCCTCAATCGAGCCTTAGGAGCTTATTGACAACAAGTGTTGGCAAGGAAAGGGCAAAGATATGACTTAGTTCTTAAATACTTTTCTTTATCTAAATAAAGATGACCCTTTCTAATAAGTTCTGGTTAAATTCTTCACAATGCCTATAGAAAAATAAGATTAGACCCACATTTTGCAAATAGGGTTAAGGTTTATCACAGCTGTGTTTATTAAGCCTCTTCAGTCTGACGGAGCTCCTCTGAGGGTTTTTGTGGAGAAATTACAGGTAATACTAGAGTTTGGAGAGCAGAATGATTATACACGTCTTATTCTTTTTTCATTACCGCCTTATCTGCTCCGAACAGTTCTCGGCGGCTGCAGAGAAAGGCTGGAGTGTGTGTGTCTGCTTTGAGGATGTAATCTACGACAGAACGAGGGTCCTCTCAGATACAAACCTCATACAGGGACCAGAGGGACACGGCACATTCAAAATGCACTTCATAATCTGACTAAAATGTCTATCACCGGCAGATGGGACTGGTGCAGATATGGTGAGACAATAGATGTGATGGAAACGACTGGGATTATTAGGTTAAAACTCAGATGAATACAAAGTGTCCTTTAAGTAGTGTCCAACTTATTCCTCCTCTCATAAAGCCCTTGGAAAACATGATTCCAATCTGCATTTACTATACACTACTATCATACAATCATTTTGAAAAAATGCTAACAAAGCATTCTGCATCTCACTTTGGACTAGAGCAGAGAAAATGGTCTGAACAAAGCGGCTACTCCACCTCTGCTGCTGTGACCTAAAGTGCTGTTGCATTTTAATACTATTGTTAGCTATTTTTAGAATTATCAATTCATTTGTTTTGTTTGTTTGGATAGATAGCTACTGGACACCTGAATTTCTCCTACAGGGATTAATAAAATATCAATCAATCTATCTAAGTGGTGGAAACATATATATAATAAAGTTAGGTACCACAACTTTAACTGTCAAAATCCCTAGCTTGCCTAAAAATTGTCTAATGAGGGATTTCAGTTAAAACTCGGCATTTATAAAATCCCATCTGGATGAATGCAGGATATTAGACAAATATTTGTTTTTAAATGTTTTTTATAGGCCTTCACCAAATGGTTGCAGTTTGATGGTAAAAGTGTCTAAAACCAAGAGAGACGACCCAAAGAGGTATATCAGATCCAAGCTTCATAGTGACTCAAAAGGTTATCTACCAAATGGTTGAGAAACCCATAAAAGGTAACACCAACTCTGTAACTTCCCCATGTCCTACCCTGGTTGTCCCAGGACTAGGCTGAGAACCAGAGAGGATAGATACCTTTCTGTATTAGCCACAGTCATGGAGTAACTAGCTGCTGCATTTACAATCACTAAGTGAATAATGTTCTTGCATTACTGTAGTTTGTTTGTTGTGCTCTATAGATACATTTTGTTTGTTAGTAATTCTAAATCAATTGATGTATTATTTAATATCATGATTTTTGTTATATTATTTGAATCTTAAATCTTATAATAATAGAACAGAGATTTTACCATGCAAAGAAAAGAGAAGAAAAGATGCAGGCTTACAAATATTAGGATTTAGACAATAATGTTATAATAAATTAGATATTATCATGTATAAATCCTTATCAAAGCATTCAGCTCTAAATGTCTTCAGCCCAGGGTTGACGTATAACCCATGTTATAAAAGGATATGGCTGGTTACACCTGGACAGAGGCTGAAGAATAAACAGCAGCAGTAAAATGACACCACCTGAAGTCACCAAAGGCAGCACACAAAAGGCACTTCACACACCATTTTCTGCATGTTGGCAGCCATTGGCCTGACTCTGCTGCGAAGTCTGTTGTGCAGAGCAACAATCTTTGACTGATCAACTGTGGACTGTCCGAACCCTTGAAAAATCAAACAAACAAATCAGTATTTTGAGAAGTGGCCCATATGTGGACACCTGAATTTCTCCTATGGAAATCAATAAAGTATCTATCTATCTATATGTGTTTAATTTTAAATAAAAGTATGTATTAAATATACTATACTATAATTATGCTATAGGTGTGAATGTGCAGCGCTTCCCATTTACCGTTATCCATGGACTCCGCTGGAATTGCAGACATAATAATCACGGGCAGAAGACTTAAAAACACGAACACATGCATGTATCGTAACGCGGAAAGTAGATCCATAGTTTAGTCCAGAGGTGAATTAGGAACTAACACAGCACATACAAAAGGGCGCTCTACGGCTGGCTCCAACTCCTCCTTCCTCTTTTTGTAAAGGCATGAGGATGCAGTCATGTGCAACAAGTGGATGATCCTCACAGGGGGACTGCCACATTGTACTTCAATGACAAAACACCTTTCGGTGTCAACGGCTTTAACAAATACAGAAATGGATGATTAAAAACCTGGACTTCATTCATTAAGGGTCGTGTCATCTCAAGGGGAAGAGTACAAGCATATAGAAAAAGTATAGAAAATGCCAATGGGGCCATAAGATAATTTCCCCCTCCTCAATCACTTCACTTCCCAGCAGGGATGACCAGTGACTGATGCCGCATGCCTGGCCGAGAAGTCCTTTGTCAACACTGTAGTCTATGGTTCGCCACAATCAAAAGTGAGGACACATTTTTCAGGTCATTGGATTATCCACACCTTGTGCCACAGTGGACATTTGAATCGAGAACAACACACCACCACCACAATTCTAATACAAACATAACATTTAATGTGATAAATTGCTTCTCTATGGTAATGAGAATATTGCTTATTCAGTCCATATAAGAGATTCTAGAAAATATATGTATTATTGTCTCACAACAGTGTATGCATTGCCCAGGTCTCTGTTTGTATAGATGGCTGTTGTGGCATTTATAAAGCATGATAACTCAATGCATGAGATGCAGGCAAAGGAAATGAGAGCAGAAACTGATGAATTCAAACTGAGATACTGATTCTGAGACAGATATTCCACACACAGAGAGCACAGGCTCCAGACAGTTCACACTGAGGAGACGTGATACATGGGCCAAACGCCTATTCGGCTTTGCACACAGCATTGTCCTGGTTTGGACCTGTAAGGACCTGGTTTTACAGGCATGATTTGTATTATTTTCTACAAAGTAAAAAGCATAGTTTCTGTTGTTTGATATGGATAACATTTTTACTTTATGATACTCTCACAACCTTCTCACAATAGATGGCTGGAATTCTGGCCTATTACAGAACCGTGATACATAACTTTTCTTGTAGAAAATATACTATTTGACTGTTAACCATATCAAACAAATTCATTATTACAAATTAAATTCCATAAAAATACAATAACTATATTGTAGTAATGTAATTTTTTCAGATACCAATTACAAGTTTTTAACAAAGTCCCATCAATGAGAAGTGTTGAACTGTTAATTTCTGCATGACTTTTAAAAGCATGTAGAAATGAAGCAGGGATTTTTTAAAAATACATTTTTCTTGCGATCCCTTCCTCTGATTGGCTGATGAAGAGTAAACCCACATTCCGCAGCAGTTCACAGATTTTCCACTGTGGCCCGAGCTCCTGCTTTTCACCTGGACTCCACCACACAGCACCACATCAGGCTTTTAGCAATATAAGGAAATATGTTGGTGTCACCAGCTTTTGTTGTCACGTTAGCATTCATGTTTTCATCCACTATTGGACAGGTAAGTGGTTTATTTATTTCAACATGTTCTGGTTGGATTTAATACGAGTGCATGTATGCTCAGGCTGTAGAAGCAGGGATCTGTGTATGAATGCCTCCAATATGTCCAACTTTTGCACAAATAGAAATGCTCTAAATGTAGCTCTGTAGCTCTATGTGTGTGTGTGTGTGTGTGTGTGTGTGTGTGTGTGTTTGAATGTGTGTTTGTCTGATTAATTAGAAAAAAAAAAAACAGTCTTGGAAATATTACATCTTTGACAGAAGTTGTGTCAAAATGATTGTATAATCGAACATGTTTACTCCCTCTCTCTTCGCAATTGCATCACCATGACGCCATGTAAACTAGTGAGAGATGGAGAAAGAAAGAGGCCTTTGATTACAACACCATAAACACCACAAGTCTTGGCGTAACTGAACGTTCTCCAATCCAATCCAAGTCAGAATAGTGTTTTCAGCAAATATTGACCGTTCTTACATAACTTTGTCTGGACCAATACAGTAATTGGTTGTCTGAAAACATGAGAGGAAGGACTTTAATGAGTAATGGTTGATAAACATCATGGTGCACCCCCCTCTTTGGCGGTGCTGTGGATAGAGACCATGCTTGTATCACAGATGATGTTTGTACCCTATATAAACCCAAACTAAATCTGCAGCTGGGAAACAAGTACATACTCAGAATTCAGAGCTTTTGATCTATATTTCTCATCTCTCATCTCATCTGACTCACATTTGTTACATTATTTATTCATGTGTGGACACACCTCAAGCAATAAAGAAGAGATGAAAAGCTACGTGTTACTGTCTTTTAATATACTTAATACTTTTAATATGATGACCAAAGTTATATTAATGAAATACGGTTAATTACTAAACCACAATTATATTCCAGGATTGTCCGAGCAGACGGGAGATACAAGGCACCCTGAAACAGGTCCAGAAGCTTCTGGCAGCTCATGAAAGCTCATATGGACAAAGTTTGAAAAATCTGAAAAAGAAAATCAACCTATTACAGAACAGTGCACCAAAGCTACCCAGAGACACCAACAGTGAGTATCTAACTTCCATTTATGAATCCAAACCTCTTTCACGTTACATAAACATGTTTTCACAGTCACCTGTCCCAAGCTGGACGCCCCTCTGTATGGGAGAAAACTCGGCAAATCTCAGAGTGTTGGCCATGAAGTGCACTTCCTGTGTGACCCAGGTTATGAACTGGTTGGATCTGAGAGTCGTCTTTGTCAAGAAAGTCTGGTGTGGGGCGGCCAGCAGCCGACCTGCAGAAGTCAGTGGTAACCATAACAACATGGGAGGGGCACCTGTAGTCCCCCTCCTCCTATGTGGAATACTTCTCATTCTTCTGCATCATTACTGCACATATCTGTCTCAATAATCACTGCACGTCATGATGATGACTTCTTCAATTATCTCTGTAGAAGCCTTTGCATTCTACACTTTGTTTCTGCTCATAAGCTGGTTCAGGGAAAGTCCAGAAATGTTCTGATATTTGATCTTGCTCTCATTTGAGATACTATGAATTCAGAGATAACCACCAATGGTGAGCCGCTTTCATTATTCTGCTATCATGAAGACATCAGCCTCATTTTGTTTCACCTCTGATATTGTAATATCACATCAACAAGACTATTGGGTTACATGAGTGTGACATTTTCTGTGACTTCTCTTGTGTCTCTCATATTTCAGACATCAATGAGTGCGCCTCCTCTCCATGTCTGAATGGAGGAACATGTACAGATGAAGTGAACCAGTTCTCCTGTGTCTGTGCCAAAGGCTGGGCTGGAGTTACCTGCCAGAGCCCAGTGCCCACCTGTGCGTACAATAGATCAACACTCCTGACCTCCTAATGTTTGAATACGGTTAACTAGTATTGTTCACATTATTTTGTTTCCTCAGTCTTCTTGTCCATAACAAACACATCTGCTGGTGCTGCTGCTGCTACAGTTCTACCAGCTGCCACCAGTGGACCCTTTGTTCGACCGCCACGATGCACCATGACACAGGGCACCACACACTGCACTTGTGAGCCCGGATACACCATCTCTGGCAGAGACCCCTACACTTGCACTGGTAAGTTGGGACAACATGTGAACTGCCAAATAACACACTCAATGCAAAGTTGTTATTGATGAATTGTGAAATGTTTTTTAGACATAGATGAGTGCGAGTTGTTTCATAATGGACAGTCAGGACGCCTTTGCCTACATACCTGCGTGAACACTCCTGGAGGTTACCGCTGCAACTGTCCCGCTGGATATGAAGTAACTCGGGATGGCCGTGGCTGTAAAGGTACAATAATCCATATCAAGTTTAATGTCAATGGTCAGAATACAAGAACAACTTCATCTTTTCACAGATATTGACGAATGTGCAACAAGACAGAACAACTGTACAAGGGATCAGACTTGTATTAACACAAATGGTGGATACCAGTGCGTTCGTGTTGAATGCCCAAAAATCCCTAATGCATCATATGTCAAGACTTCACCCATGTAAGTACCTACGACTGCATTCAATGTTGTAGAACCTTCCTATGTTAACTACTGTTATACTTTATTGGAAATGTTTGCAATTTACATAAACATCTATAGATATTTTAATTTACGTTATATACATATAAACACATACAGTTTGAAATTATACTCAATCATAGATTTAATTGTTTTTTTGTTGATAACACAAAAAAACAACTATATTACAGGTGAAACTATTTACAGGTGAAACTCAGATAATTAGGACATTGTGAAAATCGTCTGTAAAACAACTCAAAATGTGAAACTGCTATAATATATGATATGAACTCATAGCAGACAAAGTGACATAAAACATATGACATATTCCGTTGTTTGTTTATATTTGGATTATTAGAGATCATTAGGGCCAAATGCAAAGTCTCTCGAGACGTCTTGTGGAAAGGAATTGCACATAACCATCATTGACCACCTCCATAAGAAGAGACAGCCTCAAAAAGCAATAGCAAAAGAGGCTGGATGTTCTCAAAGTGCTGCATCAAAGCACATTAAAAGTTAAGAGGAAGAAGACTTCAGTCTGGGAAAGATTTCAGAAAAAGATGATTTTTCAAAGCATGTATGAGAACTTCATAACGAGTGGACTGAGTCAGGAGTTGCTTCCCAGCCAGAAGGTCCTGAGGTCAATTCCACCTCCAGACAGGGTGTTTCTGTGCGCACATGGAGATTGTATGTGGCATTGTAAAAAGAAAGATTAGAGAGCATCCAGAAGAACTGTAAGCCTCAGAAGTATCCTGGTCCTCTACTGTGCCACAGGCTGAGAGCATTCATAATGTGCTGCATTAAGGCAAATATTCAAAGAAAAGAGCCCAAAGCAAGTTTCCATATTTATTCAGTTTAATATATATATATATATATATATATTTTTTTTTTTTTTATTGATTTCATGTAACATTCTAATCTTGTGAGATTTAGAATTTGGATTTTTTCAAGCTGTAAGACACAACAAATTTAAATGTTCACCTTGTTCATACTGTTGCAGGCGGTGTGAGCGCAATCCCTGCCCTCTGGATAACAAGGCGTGCTCCCAAACTCCCAACTCCTTCTCCTACCATTACCTCTCTGTGGTCTCCAACCTGTCCGCTCCTCGGGTGATGTTCCGGGTGTCTGCGCTGCGTCCAATCGGGGACACGCTGCGCTTCTCTCTGGTCGGTGGGAGACACATCCGCAGATACTTCACAGTCCAGCGCTCAGACCGTCTGACTGGGCAGCTGATGCTCGTGAGCCCCGTCCAGGGTCCTGCCACTTTAGAGGCCGAGGTGGAGATGACAGAGCTGGAGAGAAAAGAGCAACTGGGCCGATACATCACCAAAGTCACAATGTTTGTTTCCCAATATGACTTCTAATCACTAAAGTTTTAATATGGAATGTCCAGATAGTCTTGGCTGCACACACACACACACACACACACACACACACAAACCCATATTGTGTTTTTCCCTGCAGAAAGAGTATTGTTATTGTTTGCATATGAAAGTGCCATTTAGACACTTTCAACTGAGAGCTGGTAGGCAGAAAGAGGGTAGTCCTCTCTTTTTATTTTTTCTGTCTATAAAAACCTGATGACAAAGAACAAGTAGATCCAAACTGTTCTGAGAGTCTATCCATCCATTTTCTTCCCCTTAATCAATTTCTGGGTCGGGGGTGGGAGTCAGAGCTGCACCTAATTCACATGCCAAACTGTTTTAAGAGATTTTTTATTACATTGATACATTTTTGGTGTTTCAAAGTAACAACAGGAGAACAATGCCGATGTGAAAATGGTTTGACACAGTTTCAAAAAGCATCTTTAAAAATGTAACGCAGTTATTGTGTGTGATTGCTAAGATCATCACTAAATGTCAAACAAACTGTTACATGTGAGGACATTTTGTATTTATATCTCTTTGCCTGTTAGTTTCGTTAAATGAAAATGTACTAACTTTTAATTAGCTAATCCTTTAGAAAAATGTTGAACTATATTTATTCTATTTGTTCAATGATATTATGTTATTGAAGTTTTTTTCCTGTTCAGCTTGTAACAATGCCGGAGGTTTATAGTTTTCTTGTTCAACTCATAGTGATGTAATTCCAAAAGACAATCATATTACAGCCAAATAACTAGTTTCCATCTACAGTCTCAGAAAATCTGAATAAAAAGATGATTAGATGCAGATACCACAGTGTTTATCATAAAACAGGGAAATACAAATACATTAAACTCTCTGTCTTAAACTTAGAGAATCAAATATATGTTGCACTCAGAAATATTAATTCTGTCTTTAAAGTGAATTAGGCTGTTTTGTTCTTCTATATCAGACAAAATAAAGAACAGAAGGGTAATGATTCTATTATTCTTTTTTTCTGATCAAAGAACACACCAAGTTTTTAGATATGTATTTTTCCCCCATTGAGTGATTCGTAATTGTGATTCTACTGCCCCCTAGTGGCAATGTAGTGTACATCAATGCAGAGTCAATAATGGATCTTTTATAGCTCCCTGGATCCATGCTCTACCCTCAAATGAAACAGATTTCTGTGATTTTAACCACAAATAGATGTAACTAGTGCCTCGCTCTCAAAACAGTAGTGGTTCTATCACTAGATTTCACATGCATTTATTTTAGGCTCTGTCACTTCTCTGTTTTCTAATAAGATGAAGACTGCATGTTGCGGTCAAGACTTACAAGTGTAGTAAAGTTTAGAAACCAAAATAAGGTCAGGCACCCCAGCTTTAAACCGTGGATTGATTTTTGATGAACAGCGACATCTAGCGTTCCTTGGTGCGCAACACCACAAGCGCTTCTAAAAATCGAACAAATCCTAAAATGCAAAAGTAGTTAATTACGCAGTGCAATTGTCGAGCTTTAAACAGCACATTGTGATGCCTACTTGTGATAAATTGCATGCATCATCATCTGCTTTACCATCTTTGAGACTTTACCATGCTGCTGAGCTCAGAACTAGAAAACTTTGGGGCTCCTCCCTCAAAAACCAACTCCATTCTTCAAAGGAACCTCCAAAGTTATAATCCCACAGCGATGGAAAACTTAATCTAAAACACGTAAGTGAAGATTTATAAAATAGTCATGTAATCCCCACTTGATGCAGGTTTTAGTGTTTTGGTCTGATCCGTATCATCTTCAGTCGGATGAGAGTATTTTGTCTTCGTGTGGTGTTGTTTTCAGCTAGCTTAAGAGGCTAACTTTCGCTAAGCTATGTTTTTAACTGGGAAGAGATATAAGCATACTTAAGTCAATCGGTACACCACATTGTATACGTTGTTTTAGACCAATTAACCACGTCTTAATACGTACATCATTTATATCCACTCTCAGGTTGTAGATTCTTGATAAGTTTCGCAGGCTGCAGGCTTCTTACTGAAGTTTGTGATCAATGTAACGCTATACTTTTAATTCCACTCTTTCAATAAGGACCCCTGCAGTTTGTGTATTTACACTGCACAATGTTTTTAATTAGTGTTGTCCTATTCAAGGCATGAAAATGTATTAATGAATAATTATGTAATTGATTGCACAGTAATTAAGACTTACAGACATGTTTTTGTTGTGTTTTTTAGAATTATCTTTTAAAATAATTGGACCTGAACCAGCACACACATGTTTTAGCAATTTGGTGTATTTCTGTGTTTGTATTATGCGTTAGATACCATATCATAGTCCTCTGCAAAACTGACAGAACTGACTTCAATGAGAGGTTAATTGATCGCACTGTGAGCACTGCTGGTCAACAATTATACAATATTACTATATGTTCAGACAATACATACAGTTCCTTCAAGTTTGTTAAAACAGCCTGTTCCCTCTAAAGGAGGCTCTGCTCCATCTGGGCCTTTTTAACAAGAGTAAGAGCTGTGTTGTGGGCCACTTTCACTCTCTGTAGGCTGCACTTGTTATAGATCACCCACAGATGAGCAGAGTAAAGTGAAATGCAGTATGCCCAAAATAAAGTGTAAGTGAACTGCAGATGGAAATTAACATGGTGCTTAATATGGTGCAGCCATCTTTTTAATGTAAGTGTACATTATTTGGGACAGGACCAAGGGCGTAGGTTTGCGTGGGGACCATGGGGACATGTCCCCACCAATATTTGGTGAGGACTAAAAAGTCCCCACCAAAATGACATGATGTCCCGTGACCCGGACGGTCCGGGACACATGTCTTCCGTTTGTGCACACGTCGCGCCTCCTCCTCGCCTCCAGAGCAACAGCAGCAGCAGCAGCACGTGACCCGTTCCGTTCTCTGCAGTGATTGGCTGTCTTCTTCAGCTCCAAACTGAAGCACTGAGCAACTGTTTAATTTTTAAAAGTTAGCCAGCGTGAAGCAAGTGTTTTTTTTTCGTTCCCTGAGCGTTGTACAGTAGCACGTGAGTAATCAGAGGAAAGTACTGTAGATCTATTACCATTCAAAGTACTTACGTTATTTCTAATCTGTCAGCGCACTGTTTAATGTTCCCAGGAGCTCACACGGCACAGAGACAGAACAGAACTGGCTCCAATAAAGAAACAGGTTGGTTGAAAGGCTGAGAAAATACTTATTGTGCTCTTACTATCCAAAATGTATAAGTGGGTGTGTTGTGTGAATCAGGATAAACTAGGGATGAACATATTCCACGGATCCACGATTTACAACCTTTATCTGCTGATAATGTAATTTCTGTGAAATGTGCGGGCATTTCACAGCGGGCACTTGCTGTTATTTGCTCTAAGCACATTCAAGCGATGCACTCGAATGTGCACGTCCTGGTGCAGCTGCTGCCGCTTTGTAATGACAGCCGCGGCGCTCAGTGAAAGCACAGCTCTAACATGGTACCGAGCTCGGACCATATGCAGACAGAACCATGTTGCAAGTGCGGGTCTCCCTCGTATCTCCCGCGTTTCTCCCCTGTGTCTCTGACATGTCTCTCCCCTGACTCTCCCCAAAGCGCAACCAGCGCTTCCGAAATTAAAGCTCGGATACCTAAATTTTCCATTGCGTTAACGATGCATGCTGGTTGTGCGCAAAACACACCACAACAGGTCATTTAAGTTTTTATTTTGCATACTTGAGAGCCCTGTGAGTCATTAGTTGCCTTTTTGGGTTGAGAGTGGAATAAAAAAAAAGAAAATATAGAAAAATCCACACTGTTACTTATTGCCAAACTCTTGTTAACTCATTGTATTGAGAAATACTATGTAACTTTTGACATTGGCCAAGTTATATAAATTATTCTGCAGTTCATGTATATGAATGTCTGTTTTTGATTGTCTATACCTTCTTATATAATTTAGAAAAAATGCCACCTCCACAAAAAAAGATAAAAGATATCAGGAGCTTTTTTAACAGTTGGAAAGTAAGTAAGAGAAAGCACAAGTAATAGCAAATTATGAATTGTGATGATTAATCTTCTGTCAACATACATAGGAAACTCAACCAACAAGAGAGAACAAAATAGGGAATGTTGAGGTAGAAGCAACAGGCCCTTCAGTGCATCAGGTGAGGTTGGAATTTTTTAGGTATGCATGGGACTATGAATTGTTTTTAGAGATTGATCGTATATGTCAAACAATGTAGTGAGCTACTCACTGTAGAGTCTAATTCAATATTTTCTCCTCTGTTTTTATTTATTATAGGAAATTGAAAGATCAGAGCATGATTTATTTCAAGTATCGAGAGCAGTTCCTGAACTGTTAGAGCCTCAGGTGAGGGCTATTATGTAGATTTGGATTAGGTTTAAGTCAGTATAGAATGAACGCAACACAAAACTCAGAAGCTCTGATCCAATTGATTTTGTGTTAACTATTAGAAAAAATCCTTAACTGCTTCTCATTCAGTCTACAGCTGAGTTTAGTATAGAAGGCAACATACTATTGCAAATATAGTGTGTGATCACACAACAAATTCTGGGGGAGAAACTCTGGACCCCGTGTCAATGGGTGTAGACTCAGGTTGTAGTGAATGTCCCCACCAAGATTGGAACCAAACCTACACCATTGGACAGGACATTGGCCTGTGCATGCTCTGCAGCATACAGCACTGTTCATAATGTCCTTGTCATCTGACTGGAGCTGTCAGGATATGTCCAAGATATTTAACTTATAGGTTTCAGAGGATTGCTAAAAACTTTAAGTCAGGAAACGCTACTCAATACAGTTTTTCTTAAACACATTTCTCTTATGTTATATTTGATATTAATGATATGAAGTAATATCTTGTCAGATCTGGCAGGTATTGTGGTTGGAGGCTGCTAGAAACACCTGGTGCCACATTGGAGTGGCTAAGTCTCTAAAAGTCCAAACTGTCTTTGTGTCCTTAAGCAGGACACCTTAACCACATTGCTTAATATTATGATCTGGTGGATGCATGAATGTGCTTTACGCTGATAGAGTAGATTGGCAGCCGCACTCTGTTCATATCTCCATTATCTTTAGTGGCTTATCAGAACATACTCATGCCACGCTTACTTACACTAATACCTATGATCATGTTTTGATTTTAGGAGAGACTTCAACAATGAATACAGCTTAGCAGAGTTGGAGGATGTCTCCCAAAGTGCCCTCGGACAAAGGGAGAGGGGAGTACTCTGCAGTGCAAGTGGCTGTGAGAGTGCGCCCCCTTCTGCCCAAAGAGCTGCTTCGCTGCCACAAGAGCTGCATCACTGTTGACTCTGAGTTCAGCCGCGTTACTCTGGGCCATGATCGGCATTTTCAGTGTGACTTTCTATTTGAAGAAAGTTGCTGCCAAGAAGATGTTTATTCAGAGTCTGTTCAACCACTCATCGATTCATTCTTTCAAGGGTTCAATGCTACTGTCTTTGCCTATGGACAGACAGGCTCAGGCAAGACGTACACTATCGGAGAAGCTAATATTAGTAAGTTGCAATATTTATCCAAACAAGGGGTACTGTTCAAATACACCAAAAGTATGTTTAACCAAAAGTCTAAGAGGCATACAAGGGGAAATGTATTAAAGACTACCAGTAGTTAATTATAAAGTGTTATTACTGCTAGTGAGTTCTGGGAGAGCACAAGAAAAACATTACAGTACTTGGAGTATTCAAATCCCATACCACATTTTGTCATGTTACCTGCTCATTAAGTCAAGTATACCTAATGTTGTCTTGTCTGATGACTGGTGTTATGTGGGAATTCATTTTGAAATTAATCACTTAATGGCATCATAGAGTCTGAAAACACCAAACGGATAAGGGAGGTGGTGGTAAAGAAGTGTTGAACAACAAAGATTCAAACTCTTTTGGCTATTAAAGCCCCATCTTGTAATTGTAATCACACTATAATCAATAAACACTCTTAGTTTCTGCCAACATGTTGCCTGACCAAGGAGGTGCTAAACTGTATTTCTTCTATCCTTTTCTTTCCTATGAGCACAAACAAACCTGTTTTGTTCTGTGCTTTTGCAGCTGCGTTTCGAGATGAAGAGCAGGGCATCATACCTCGAGCGGTAGCAGATGTTTTTAAACTTCTCGATGAAAATGATCTGACCGACTTTTCAGTCCGTGTCTCCTATCTGGAAGTATATAAAGAGGAGTTCAAGGACTTACTAGAGATGGAAACATCCAGCAAAGATATCCAGATTCGGGAAGATAAAGGAAACATTGGTAAGAAAAGCCCTAATGTACTTAGAAGTGGGTATGTGATCATTTCTACAATGCAGTCTCCTTTGCCTTTTATAGTTTTGTGTGGGGTGAAGGAGTGTGAAGTAGAAGGCCTAGATGAGGTACTGAGCTTATTGGAGTCGGGCAACACGGCCAGACACACCGGAGCAACTCAGATGAACCCGAACTCTAGCCGATCACACACCATTTTCACTATTTACATGGATCAAAGAACCTCTCGTCTGTATGGCTCAGGGGCAGGCACTGGGCCGCAAATGCTATCATCCAAGTTTCATTTTGTCGATCTGGCTGGGTCTGAGCGCATCTTGAAAACGGGGAACACTGGGGAAAGGCTGAAAGAGAGCATCCAGATCAACAGCGGTCTACTAGCCTTAGGAAATGTCATTGGAGCACTGGGAGACCCCAAAAGGAGAGGCTCGCACATACCTTATAGAGATTCAAAAATAACAAGGTAATCTAAACTAAGTTTTAATGTTAAATTTGTATACCCTCATTTAAATATACATTTACAATTTTTTAGGATTTTGAAAGATTCTTTGGGAGGAAACTCCAAAACCCTGATGATTGCCTGCATCAGCCCATCTTCCTCAGACTTTGATGAGAGTCTGAACACACTAAACTACGCTACACGGGCCCGAAACATTCAGAACCGAGCTACAGTCAATTGCAAACGTGAGCCGGATCGAGTGCAGGGACTGGAGCAGCAGATCAAGGCTCTTCGCAGAGCATTGGAGATTCGTCAGCGCTCAGAAACGCGTATTATTGCACACGCTGAGCCAAACCGGAGGCCTCGACTGGGCGAAGGAGAGATCAGCCGATTACAAGTGCAGAGTGCTCACTACCGGACGTGTACAGACACCGCCTACAGGTGAGACGAAGATAACAAAAAGTTTGTTGCAATAGTGTAGTTGCAGTATATTGACATTACTTGAATTATACTCATATTTTCTTATTATGACCTGATGTTACTTGATAATGTAAGGGTATAGGGTTAGGGTTTTAAATTAATAATGTAAAATTTCCTTTTCATTAACTTTACGGGAAAGATATACTTATTTTTTGTCTTTGCATTGCTGGGACTTTCTGTGTGAGGTTTGTCCAAGTGGCCATACCTTAGTGAGGGCAACCCTGGGACCCATCTTCAGATGTTATTTCTCCAGTTGATAGGGTTTGGGTGGTGGGGTACACCAGAGTGTCTGGCGGAAATCCACCCAGAAAGACCTACACCACTCTCCCTGCCACTGTGCCGCTTTGTAATTCCTTTCGTTTTTCTTGTTTGTTTAATGAACTTGACTTTACAGGTTGCTCAGGGAGCTGCAGAGTGAAGGAGCACTGACTGCAGAGCAGAGCCTGAGAGTGAAGGAGTGGTTGTGTTCAGTGGAGGAGGAGCGGAGTGGCCTGACCACTGCTTCTGGGCCAGACAGTGGCATCGAGAACAGCTCCTCTGAGGACTGTGTGCTGAGGAGAGCACAGAAACAGGTTTGCCCTTTGTTTTTGGTTTTTTTAAACCAACATGTTTTGAAAAACTTGTTCTATATTTTTCCTCTTGTCCAGAATGGAGAGTTGACTGAAGAAAAGTGGAGCCATGAACTTGAAAAAGGAGACAATATTTGTCAGCTTCAAGCACAAATCCAGCGGCTTGAGGGAGAAAACACTGATTTCTTGGCTGCTCTTGAAGATGCAATGGAGCAATACAAACAACAGGTAAGATCAGGGACAGTAACTCTGCTGTGATATTCCTAAAGATGAAGTAATCTTTAGGCACTCGGTTTAATCAACTGTACAGTTTTTTCTATCTATGTGTAAGTAACTTTGAATATATAATGTGCAGAGTGATAAACTTCAAGAGCAACAGGATATCATCACTGAGTTGCAGTTGATGCTGTCTTCTTCAGCCGCGGTGGGATTCAGCTTTAACCTGAAGTCACGACCACACACTGCTCCTTTGGCTTCTATGAATCATCCACACAATGGAGCGTTAGATAGTCAGGTAATCTGCCAACAGAGCTTTGTAGTCCATAATCAATCAGATAAATGCATTCACATGTGCTTGTATACAGATTTTCCCTGTTGATGGTGATGCTGATCAAGAGGAAAATGTTTATGACACTGACGATGAAATAGAAAATACGGAGGAAAATGGACCTTTCTCCAGCGACAGCTGTGAACGACACAGGTGGATGAAACAAATGTTTTGTACATTACCCATGAGATACAGATGGTTGATTAATTTATTTTATTTCAGACATGTGAACCAAACATGGACCAGAAAGGACATACAATCTGGACCAGCATCTGGAGGGAAAGGGCTAATGTCTGAAACGGACCTGCATCCCTGCTTAATGAGAAAAACATGTAGGTTTTTGCAGAATGCTGCTAACCTGGAAAGTTTCCTCAAATCTTTTTAATTTTTCTATGTTTGAGCAGCAAACTCAAGCTCAGGAGACGTATCAGCACGTGAAAGCCTCAAAGGTTTTGAAGGTATTTCAGAGTGGAGTCTTGTTCAGGCTCAACAGAAAATCAGGGAACTATCTGTCACTATTCGTATGAAAGAAGAACTTATTAAAGAGCTTGTCAAAACAGGTATAATTTTAGGTTTAACATCTAACGTTAATGTAAAAAACTATTACTACAAATGTAAATGTTGTAGGCCAAGATGCTCAGGCCTTAAATCGGCAATATTGCCACAAGATTACATCTCTAGAGAATGAGGCAACTCAAGCTCGGCTCGAGCTGCAGGAGGCCCAGAGGCAGCTGCAGGATCTGGAGCGACAAGAGCGAGAGATCACAGCCACGGACAGGAACAAGGCTCAGGAGTGTCGCAGGAAGATCGCTGCAGCTCAAAGCAAAGTCCAGGTGAGTGCTATTATCCATATGTGAAACTGAAACTGAAGTATTGTCTCATACACGTTTGTTTTTGTACAGGTGCTCAGTCAGCGTCAGCGCGACACTGCTCGTCTCGCTAATTTGTCGGTGCAGAGTGAGCGTCGGGTTTTAGAACTGGAACGAAGTGTGCAGAATATGAGGCAGCAGCAGGAGCAGCTACAGAAGCGCCTTCGCCATGAAAGCCAACAGAAGCGACGGCTCGAGACAGAAATGCAACGTAGAACCCATAGAGTAAAGGTACAAACATTACACTGTCACAATTAATCATTTTATATGAAAGTGAAAACAATGATTTAAATAAACTTTAGGAATTGGAAATTAAAAATGAGCAACAACAAAAGATTTTGAGGATTAAGACTGAAGAAATAGCAGCATTTCAACGGCAACGACGCAGCGGCAGTAATGGCTCTGTGGTTTCTTTAGAGGAGCAGCAGGTAGGACTTCAGTGTTTTTAGTGTCCCTGAGGTAATTGCTAATAGTGTGTGCTTTAATGTAAATTCACTCTGAGCAGAAAATTGAGGAGCAAAAACGCTGGCTGGATGAAGAAATGGAGCGTGTTCTTGACCAAAGAAAAGGGTTAGAAGACCTGGAAGGAGAGCTCACAAAAAGAGAGGACATTCTCGCCAAAAAGGAGGCCCTGCTGCAAGAGCGCAGCGACTTGGAGACAAAGAGACTTCGCTCGAGTCAGGTATTTATGTGCTTTAACTTTGTATAAACTATAACTGATTTAAATTTGTTTTTCTATTGTGTCTCCTCAGGCACTGAACAAGGATCTTGCGACCTTGACGGGAAGAATTGAGACGCTTGAAAGAGAGTTGAGCGAGAGGAATGGTCTTTTAAGGAGCGGTAGTGCTCAAGATTCACAACAGATTCGGCAGGAGATTTCCAACCTGCGCGGTGAAAAGGACTCTCTACTCAAGCAAAGAGTGGAACTGGATGATAAGCTCAGGCAGGGTAACCTGCTCTCTCCTGAGGTCAGTGCCAGATGTGAATAGACCCGGAGTTTAAGTCAATTATATTCTAAGAACATGCATACATTGTATTAATTTTTAGGAAGAAAGAACCCTTTTCCAGTTGGATGAAGCAATTGAGGCTTTAGATGCTGCCATTGAGTACAAGAATGAAGCTATTACTCAAAGGCAGAGGCAGCTGAGGGCCTCGGCCAGCATGCTCTCCCAGTGGGAGATGAACCTCATGGCTAAACTGAGCTACCTGTCTGCCTCTGAGACAAGAGCTCTGCTGTGCAAGTACTTTGACAAGGTCTGTTCAAATTAATTCATCCCCAATTGATTTTGTAAATATATATCATTTTATGTGACTGATTATAGGTGGTGTCGCTACGTGAAGAGGAGCGAAGGCTTCAACTTTCCTTTGCTGAACTTGAAATGCAGCTGGATGAGCAGCAGCGGCTGGTGCAGTGGTTGGAGAATGCTCTTGATCGAACTCAGCTGGACACAGACCGCCGCCTCACACAACAACAGAAGGAGCATGAGCAAAGTGTGCAGCTCCTGCTGCAGCAGTGTCGAGGTATAAAATGTTGGTTTACTCTAGTTAAACAGTTCAGTTCTTATGCTGAAGGGAAGGGCTTTCAATGATGTGCACTAAATGTGTGACATTTGTTTGTTAAGAACAAATGGACGAAGGTCTGGCTGGTCGTCAGCGACAGTACGAGGGCTGGATCCACAACCTCAACAAAGAGTTGAACCACTACAAGACCGTAAATCTGGATCTAGGCAACAAACTAAGGGAAATGTGTTCAATTAGAGAAACAAAAGGTAAATTTCTTTTTGTTGATGTTTTGTCTGAATATTGTTCATTATGTTAATGTATATGCGTGTCTTTAGTGTTTGGATTGGAACCACCAGGTTCAGGAAGCACCAGATGTGTGGATGACAGTTCAATAGGCAGAGGCTCAGTACAGTCAGAAAAATCTCCTAAATCTCGTGATGAAAAGAGGGAGTTGGTAAATACGCCTCTGCCATCCACATGGCGGCGCTCTTCACTGCCTACAGAGGAACCAGCTGCACTGGAGGAGCTGTGGCTCCCAGCAGCAGGAGATGCTCCTGTGAACCGCGTGGTTCAAACCGGACCCTGGACTGGAGCCTCTTTACCTGTGGTCAAGTCTCGCAGAGAGTCCAGACGCTCCAGTCTCAATGTTGGACCAATGTCTTCAAACAACTCCATCATTGATGTTCGGAGAAACCCGCTCTAATACTGTGCTTACTTTGTATATCTATGCCTTTTTGAAATAACTTCTGTTTGTACAAACATATTTAAAGTCCAGCTTGTATTTACCAGGGAAATGTGCATTTTGATAAAATGCCTGTTTTTAAAACGATGCACTTTTATATATGGTTTTGATAAGAATATTGAGCTCTGACCACTAACCAGACGATGTAAATAAAACATTTCAAATGACACATGTGAAATACTGTTTACTTTGCAAAAAATGTATATATATAATTTTATTATTTCAAAAGTACTTTGTGGGCTCCATAGTGTAATATCTCCGTTGTTTTAGTAGTAACAGCGTTGGTGACAGTCAAGTTGAATACTTCCTAACGTGTCCACTCCAAGGCACATGAGTCCTGTCAGGTTTCATGTGCGCGTGTGCTTCTTTTTTATTTTTTAAACACGTATATACTGTTTATTGGGTTTTCACAAATGTATACAGTTTGGCAATCCAACAGAAAGTACACAACACAAATGCACAGTATTAGATGTATATCTTCTGTTAGTAAATAGTATATAATATATATATATATATAACAATTTACAAGCACACCTATATTTTAGCTACCGACATTGATCGGCCACATTGAATTCTACAAAATGCCAAAGAAACATCGAATTAATGTAAATATTAGCACATGATAATGCCCAGACTTGAGCTGGCTCAAGTCTCACTGCGGCTTTAGTTCGTACACTTTTGGCGCTGAATGATAATTATTACAGCACTGACGTGACGCTCGAGCTTAATTGCTGAATCGCTCTCCTGATTGGCTGAGAGCCAAGGCCACATGTCACGTGGTGCGGGTGAGGAGAAAGAGGCTGAGTGCGATGTGCTCCTCACGGGACATGGTCTGTGGACACCGCGGAAGAAGGCCGTCCAGACCCGCTCATACCTATGGTCATACCCTGTCATACCCCGTCATAGACCCCTACAGCTGGGGATCCAGCGGTGACACATGCTGCGCATTTACGGATCTATGATACAAACACAGGAGCGCGCCTCTCACCTGTAAACAGAGCGGATGGACACGTGCGCCTTCTACACACATCTGAGAGAACACTCGTAAGTATTTGTCTTTTAATCCTTCTTCATTCATTTATTACCTCACCTTGGCTTGAATGTGATTCATACAAAATTATCCACAGAGAAACAGCTACATAAAAAGACCATTCATAAAATTATTATTGCACCTATTCTTTGTTGAATTGTTTCCGCAGAATATTTTTGTCCCAATCACATTAATACTGTTCTATGGAAATTTGACTCCAGGGTTAGGAAATTCAAGTCTAATTGTTTCCCATTTTTTAAGATAAAAATGATCTGTGAATGTATCATTTGTGTCTGTGCTTGCAGGTTAAAAGCGTTTACTCTGTGATGGAGCTGGGTCCTGTCTTTGGTTATCTAGCTGTATGAGTGTTATTGACCGTCATAAAGCTAGATAACCGAAAGTAGGAAAATCCTCCAAATGTCAACTTGTGAACTTGGAAGTTGCAAAGCAGTGCGAGAGGTAAAACTTAATTGGTGATGGAAAGGTTAATTTATGTTTGTGATGGTGAGACAATCTTGAGAGGTTGCATTACAAAGTCTAATGTCTGACTATGAGGCTCTATATTTCGATTGATCAATTAAAAAGACACTACTGGATAAATTGTTTGACAACATGCCGTGAACAATATTCTAAAGCCCAGTGCTAAAAATAGATTATTGGTATGTTATTTCATTCTAAATGTTTTATGACAAAAGATAAAAGTGCTGTGCCGTGTTCCAATAGCATTTTTTTTAACTTAATATTTTAATGGAATCATGTGATATTCCACCTCCAGGAAGTGACGCAAGATGACTACTATACACTATACTATATATATAATTCATATACAACTTATAAGTTAATTTAAAAAAAGAAAATTACTTGTTAAATCCTGCACACTATAGTAAAAAACTACTCACTGCATTTCATACAGACCAAGTCAAATCAAACACTGAGACACCGTGACCAAATATCTATTTCATGATATAACATAATGACATAATACACCTCACAATAATCCTATTTGAATGAAGGCAAAAATGTGTCTGCGGACATATAAAGAAACACATGTAACATTTCAGGCCAAAGGTTTTGAGTACAGAACACATTGACAGCGGTACGTTAATATTCTTCCTAATTGTTTCCACTAAATAAAGTCAAACTTTTATATGCTAGAAAGAACAAATACCAAGAGCACAACAAAAGCCTGTTCTAATTGTTCATTATATATTTTTTTCCGCTAAAGCTGGAGTTAGAAATCTAGGCCTGCTAAACACATTTCCTATGCTGTCTAATGGTCACTTTTAGTAAGAACCTATAAGACAATATCTACATATGTAAAATACAATAAACGCACGATTATGCCCATTTCCTTCATTTAGATCCTTCCTACAAAAAATATTATTGTTGTAGAAAAATGTAGTCAAATGTAGGTCAATGATTCTCAACCTTTTTCAGCTGTGATCCTAAATTTAACAAAGATGCTTGATAGTAGAAGAACTTAATTAATCCATAATTATCCATAATCAAGACTTGTTAAAGACTACTGCTGACATTGTAAACGTTTTAACACCCGGAAAAAATCCACTCATATTTTCACTTTTATCTTATGATAAGCACATGAAATTATTTCAGGTTGCGTATTCTCTTGTTTCCTCTGGTTGGTTTTCCTAAAGACATGTACAACGGGCTCCTCCACTGAGAAAGATGATGTAGTCTCAGTAGGACTATCTTGGTTCGATATCTCCCTTAGTCAATTTATATTTTAATTATTTCTGTGTGACCCCCTTCCCTATTTGGCACTGTGTACTAAAATCATTCTAATTTTATCTTATTAACAAAATAATCTTACATTTTCACTTTCTATTTTTGTTTCAATTTTATGAGCTATAGTTCATCTTGTTTCGCTTATATTCCCATTTTTGTGTAATATGCGCTGCAAAACTGAAATATTCCTGTGGTACAAATAAAGGTTCTCTTATTTTAAAATAATTTTCCAAACCCCCAAGTTGAGAACAGCTGGATAAATTAGTTGAACCTAAATCCCATGTATTAAGCTCTGAAGTTAGCTACAATATTCATGTATATTGTGCTGATTATGATTCTTCTGGTCATTTACATAAAAAACCAGGAAAGCACACGGTGCTAATTGCACCTTTTTGCAAAACTGTTTCGGTATGTCGCTGCTCTGAAGACGACACATTATACGCATTTTTGTTTTAACTATGACTTATAGTTTAAAACTTATTTAATATGCGTTTATAATACGTAAAACATCAAATAGATAACTCAATTAATTGAAATGATAATCAATAGATTTCTATAATAAATAGCTGCAGACCTACTCTGAAGTTAACATATCGTTGGGGCTCCATGTATTTAGGTCCATATCTGAAACAGCAGTGTGCATAAATACTGCACATACTGCATACATAGGATAAGATAAGATAAGATAAACCTTTATTAGTCTCACAGTGGAGAAATGTTAGTGTCATCGTTGCACACATCACAGTAGAGAGAGGAAATAAGAGCACTCAGATTACACACATCAATTAAGTCTATTATCTAGATAATAGACAATAAAATTAAGAATAAGATAAAATGAGATGGGCTATAACTGCACTTGGTTCGGAAGTATTTACAGATGTTTATATTATACATTAGCAGCGGAGAATATGAGAATATGAATATGAGCAGAATAAATATGAGAATATGAATATGAGCAGAATAATGTATGTATAATACTGCATACATACACTGCCTGTTTTTCCCACAGTCATCGTCTGAACTTATCAGTGCTGGACCTGTGCAGCAGGAACCCCTGAGCTTCTCGAGGCGTATTGTCCCCTAAACCCTAAAGGACAACACAGCTGCAATCCCATCTTAATCTGGGATAAACGCGATTATTCTGCTACGGCTTGTTCCTGGCTTTGTAACAGGGAGGTTAGTGATTGGGGGGGGAGGGGGGTAAGGATATTTAAAGAGGTGAGGGAGGGTGAGGGTGGGGAAAAAGTTAAAGTTTTATTATATGGGAGGATTGAAATGAGTTGAAGGGGGTGTTTAGATGGTGGGAGAGTAAGGGGGAAGGGGAGGGGGTTTATGGGGTGAAGAGAGATTATTATATTAGTGGTTTTTTTTGTTTGAAGGGGTATTTGAATGGTAATTAAGTATGTTGTTGAAGGGGTGAAATGTGGTTGTGGTGGGATAGGGGGGGGAAGGATTGGGGGTGGGTATTGTAAAGATTGAATGGGGAAGGAGGGATATGGATTATAGGGGGTGTTGGATGTATGGGTAGGGGTTTTTATGGGTGGGATGGTGTGTATGTATGGTGGAGGGAGAGGTTGATGTGGAGATGTGGGTGGAGGAGATGTGATGTGGAGATGTGGGAAAGAGTTGGGTTGTGTGTATGAGGTTTGTAGAGTTAATTGGATGGGGTGAATAATGGGTGAGGTGGAGGTTGGGGGGGGGGGGGGAGTGTAGGTGTGTGTTTGGATGGGGTGGGGGGGTATGAGGGTGGGAGAGGTGGGAAGAGAGAGTATGGGGTGGGGGATTAGGTGGTATATTATGGGAGATATAGGGGTTAGTGTTTGGGGGGGGTGGAGGTGAGGTTGAGTGAAGTGGGGGTGATGTGGGGATGTGGGTGATATTAGGAGGGGGGGATGGTGGTAAGTTTGTTTTGAATTAGGTGGTGGGGGTTGGATTGTGTGGATAGATAGTGGGTGGTTTTTGAGTGTTGGGTGGTGATGGGAATTGGTTGGGGGTGAGTGGTGGGGGGTAGTGTGTTTAATGTGGTTTGTGGGGGGTTTAGTGTGATGTGGTTTTATTTTTGGAGATGTTGGGGGGAAGGATTGGATATATTGTAGTTTATGGGGGGATTTTTGGGAATTGGTTTAAGGGGGGGAGGGAAGGGGGGTGGTTTTGGTTATGTTGGTTTTGATGTTTGATTTATTGTGTATGTTGTGGGGTGAGTATTTAAGGATTGAGGTTGTATGGGTGGTGGGGGATTTTTTTATGTTGGTGAAATAGGGGGGAGATAGGGGGGGGGTTTTGGTGGGGTGGTTGTGTTTGTTAAGGGTGGGGTAATATGGTTGTTGGATGGGGGATGAGGAGTGGTATATTTTTGGTTGTGTTATTATTTGGGTTATTTGTATGTTTTGGGTTTATTTTTGTGGTTTGGTTTTGTTTTGTGGGGTTGTTTGTTTTGTTTTGGGGTGGTATATGAAGTGTGTGGGTTGGGGGATATATGTTTGTTGGTTTTGTGTTTTGTAGTTTGTGTATTAAATTTGTGAAGATAGGGTGTAGTATATGTGGATATGTTGTTAGGGTATGGAGGGTTGGTTTTAATTAATTGGTTTATGTGTTGTAATTAAGGTTTGTGGGATGGGAGGTGATGTTGTTTTGGGGGGGTTTTGGTGTGGGGTGGGGGTAAGGGGGGGGGTTTGATGTATTGGGGGATATGTGGAGGTTATTGGAGGTGTGTGTTTGGGGGGGTGGGTTGGTTGGGAGGAGTAGTGATTGATGAGGGGGGTTTGGGTGTGTATAGGGTTTTGGGTGTTGATGGGTAAGTATGGGTAGTATGGGGATAGGTTATTTGGTTGGGGGGGGGTGGTTGGGGAGTTTGGTTTTTGGGGATGTTGGGAGGGGTTGGGTGGGGTATGTGGGGTTTGGGAGAGTGGAGGTATTTTGGTAATGGTTATGATTGGGTGTGGGGTATGTAGTTGGGAGTTAGTAGGAGGGTGAGTTTTTGTGTGTTGTTATTGGTTTTAGGGGGGGGAGAGGGGGTGGGGGGGGGGGAGGGAGTATGTGTTTTGGGGGGTAGGGTGGGTGGGGTTATTGGTTTTTGTGGTTAGTAAGGAGATTGGGGGGAGGTAGATATTTTATTGGTTGTTTGGGGGTTTGGGGTGGTGGGGGTTTTGTTTAGGGGGGGGAAGGTTGGTTGGTGTTGGTGGTGGGGTGGTGGATTGTGGGTGTTTATGTTTGTGTGTGGGGGGATTTGGTAGTTGGGGGGGGGGGGTTGGGGGGTAGGTGGTTTGATGGTGGGGGGGGGTAGTGTGGATGTGGGTTATGGGTGGGGAGGGGGGTTTGGTTTAGTGTTGGGTGTGGTTTGGTGTGGTTTGGGGGTGTGGGGTGGTTGTATGAGAGAATAGTTGGAAGGTGGGGGGTTGTGAATGTGAATGGTTGTGTGGTTTGGGGTTTTTTTTTGAGTGGGGGGGTTAAGATATGATAGGGGTGAGGGGGGGAGGTTTTATGGGTGTTGGTTTGTTTTGTAATTGTTATGGGGGTGGATTGGGAGGTGTTTTTGTGGGGGATAGGATGGGGGGGGATTTATGGTGAATGTGGGGAGGGGGTGGGGGTGATTTGATTTGTGTTATGATGTGGATTATGGGTTGGGTTGGGGATTTAAGAATTTGGGGAGATAATGATATTGATGTTTGGTTTAGGGATGATATTTGGTGGGGTAAGTGAGAGTGAGGTATTAGAATTGGGGATATTGGGGTATGGTGGGAAGTTGGAGGGGAGTAGGGTGTAGATTGTTATAATGTATGATTGTTTTGTTTATGTAAATAATTGAGATTGTTTTTTGGGTTTATGGATTGATATGGTATATTTGTGTATGATATGGTGATGGGGGTAGGTTTTTTGTTTATTGGTTAGGTTGGGAATTAAAGGGTGATTTGGGAATGTGGTGATGGTGGTTGGGGGGTGGGGTTATTTTTGTGGAGGATTTATTGGATTATTTGGTTGTGGATTGTTGTTGGGGTGTGGGGAGGGGGGTGGGGGTATGGGGAGGGGGGTGTTGGGGGGTGTTGATATGATTAATTGGGGTGGGTGTTTGTTGGGTTGTTTGGTTTTGTATTTGTAGGTATGGGGAGAGATGGTGGGGGTGTTGGGAATAGGAAGGAAAGAGGGGGTAGGGTGTGGGTGGAAGAAGGGGGGGGGGTATGTGGAAAGGTTTGGAGATGATGGGATAAGGAGGGTAAATTGGTGTATATGTGGGTAGTGTTTGTGGGTATTGGGGGTGGTTAGGGGAGGGTAGATGGTAGAGAGTGGGGAATAGGTAATGGGAAAGGTGTGATATGAGGGAGAGATTTTGTGTGTATGTTTTTTATTTAATAGTATGTGGATGGGGGGGGTTTGTTAATTGATGTTGTGGATGATTGGTTTGATAATTGGATGGAGGGTTGTGGTGATGGATGGGATATTTGGGGGTTTTTGTTTGTAGATGGGTTAAGGTGATTGAGATTGGAAGGGGGGGTTGGTGTTGGGGAGGTTGGGTATGGTTGGTTGGGGAGGGGGGATTGGGGTGTTGGATTGGGATGGGTATTGGTGTGAGTTTTTGTGTGGGGAGGGGTTTGGGGGGGGTGTGGGTATGTTGTTGTGGTAGTTTGGTTAGGTTATTTGTGTGTATGAGTTGTAAGGGAGGGGGGGGGGGGGGTAGGGAGGTTGGAATTTAGGGGGTGTATTGGGGTTTTAAATTGTTTATGTGTGTAGTGGTTTTTTTGTTTTTTGGTGGATATAGAATATTGTTTAAGTATTAGATGAAGGTGGGGGGTATAGGGGGTGGTTGGTGGATTAGGGGTAGGATAATTAGAGGGGTAGTAGTTTTAATTAGGTGTGTGGTATAGTGTAAAGTATTTGTAGGGGGGGGGTTTGGTGTTTTGGTGGGTGTGTATGGGGGGGGGGATTTGGTTTATGTGGATATGGGATGGGTTTGGGGGGTGGGTTTGAGGGGGGAGGGGTGGATTAGATTTGTGAGTGATTTAATGTGTTTTGATGAGGGGGTTGTTTATGGGATGGGTGATTTTGGATATGGAAAGGGTTTGTATTGTGTAGGTTTGTGGGGGGGGGGTATTTATGTTGGTGGATTTTTATGTTGTTATTTGTTATATGTGGTTAGGAAAGTTATGATTGGTGTGGGGGGGGGGTTGGTATGGGGAAATTATGGGTTAGGTGAGGAGTAAGATATTAGGGTATAGTTTTTGGAGAATGGAATGGGGGAAGGGGGGTAATAAGGATATGTGGATGAGGAAGAGGGGAGGTAATTATAGATGAATGGGATGGAGGGGAAAGAAGGGTGATGGGGTTTAGAAGTATGGGGGGTGATTGGGGAGTGGGTTTTTGAAAGAGGGGATGTTATGGTGGGTTGGGGAGTTGGGGGTAGGTAATAAAGGAAGTGGTTTGATGATTTGATGAGGGGGAGAAGGGTTAATGGGGGGGAATTAATTATATATTTTATAATGTGTATGGTTATGTTTTAAATTGTGATATTTATGATTATGTTTTGTTGTGGTAAGGAGGGGGGGGGGAGAGTTGGGGTTATATGGGAAAGGTGGGGGGGGGAAGTGTGAATTGGGTTAGAGGGGTTGGGAATTAGAGGGGTGGGGGGTGAATAAGAGGGTAGGAAGAGAGGGTAAGAATGTAAGGAGGAATGGGGGAGTTATTTATTGGGATATATGTGTTGGGAGATGATGGTTTGAAAGGAAAGGAATGATGTTGTTAGGTTAGGGTTAGTGTGTTTAATTATTGGGTTGTAAGAGTATTAGGAGGATATGGTGAGGAGATAGGGGGAGATGAGGAAGAAGGGGGGGGGGGGGTGGAAGGGGAGGGGGATGAGGTGGAGTGATTTATGGTAGAATTAATAGGGTAATGAAGAGGGGAGGGAGATAATAGATGGGATTGATATTTGGTTTGGGGGGGTTGGGAAGGGAAGGAAGATGATAGGGTGAGGTATAAATAAGTTGTTGATGATATGTTTTGTGTGTGTGGGTATTTTGATTGGGGGGGTGGTGGTGGGTTATTAAGGGATTTGGGTAGGATATGATTGGAGAGGGGGAGATTTGATGGTATGGAGATGGGGTTTGGAATGTGGGGGAGAGAAATAGGGTGTGATTTAGGGGAATGAAAGATAGGAAAGAGGATGGGGTGTTGTAGGGAATGGAGGGTATGAAATTGTTTGATGAGTTTGGGAAGATTGGGGAGATGAATAGTTTTTGGGGGGAGGGAGGAAGTGTTTGGTTGTATGGTGGGGTTGGGGAAGGTGTTTGTTGTAGGTTTTAGAGGGAGTGGATATGAGATAGGGTAAATTTTGGATGGGTAAGGAAGTAGGTGATGAATGGGGAATAAGGGAGGGTGGTTTGAAGGGGGGATTGATTAAGTATGGGGGTTTGAGAAAGGAAGTTGAGGGGGTTGAGGGTATAGTAAGTAGATTTAAGAGAAGTTTTTAATGAAGAAAGATTTGAGAGGGATTGAGGAGATTGGAGGAATGGATTTAGATTGGTGAAGGGATGACGTGTGGGTATATTGTGTATTTTATTTGTGTTTGATGTGTTGTGGGGTGAAAATGGGTTAGAAATGATTGGAAGTAGAAGAGAATGGGAGATTGGGGGAGAATTGTGAGAGGGAGAGTTGGGATATGGAAGTAAGGGGGGGGAGTTTGGGACGAGAGTGTGTGGGTGGGAGAGAAGAATGAGGAGTTAAATGGGAGTGGTTGGTTATAGAGAATGGGAGGATGAAATGAATGAGGGGGGGGGGGGAGAAGATTGGGAAGGAGATGTGGGTTGGAATGTTTGATATATGGGGGTAGTTTTGATTGGTAAGATGGGTATAGTTTTTATAGGTTAAGTAATAAAGAGGGAGAAGGTTTGTTTATTATGTGAAATGTGTAGGAATAGAGGTAGGGAAGGTTGTTTGGAGGAGTGTGAGGATGAGGTTGAAGATTATGAGGGGGGGGGGAGATGGGGGTTGGGGAATGGAGTTTGGGGTGGTTTTTGATTGGGTGGGATAGGGATTGTTTTGGGTGGTTGGGGGGTATGGGGTTGGTGGGGTAAGGGGAGGAGTGGGGGGAAGAGTAGGGGGATGGGAGAGATAAGGAAGAGGAGGGGGGGAGGGGATTGAGTTGAGAGAGGGTAGGAGAAGGAGGGAGGAAATGTGGAGGGATATAGGTATTAGAGGAATTTAGGTTTTAAAGTAGTAGATAGAGGATAAGTATTGTGAGTTATATGGGGAGAAGGGGTAGAGGTAGGGTATAAGGGTATTTTTATGTAGGGGTGGTGTATTGTAGGATGGGGATGGGGATATGTGGGTGTTGGTGATAGATATGGGGGTAGGGGAGGGGGTAGATGAGTGAGGAAATGAGGTAGAGAAAGGTAAGGGGGGGAATAAGGGGAATGGGTGAGAGGAAGAGGGGAAGAGAATTGAAGGGGGGGGGGGGGGGGGGGATAGGAAGAAGAAAAAGGAAGAAGGATGAGAGGTAAGTGAGGGGTTGGAAATGTGAAGTTGTGGTTTGAGGGGGGGATTGTGGAAGTGGGGTTGGAAGGGTGATGGGGAAGTATATGGTATGGGGGGGGTGTTGTTAGAGAGATTATTATTATTTAGTGTGGTGTTTTGGTGTTGTGTGGTAGTATTTGGTTTGGGGGGTGGGGAATTGTGGAGATAGGTTTGAGATGTGGGAATATTGGTTGAGAGTTGGTTGGTATTAGATTAGAGAGGGTGAGGATGGTGGAAATGTATGAGGGATGGTGAGGTGAGTATTGGTATGTGGTGATTTATATATGTTATTTGATGGGGGTTTTGGGGGGGGGTGGGAATGGGTTTGAGAGGGGGATAATGTATTGAAGGTGAGTGGGTGAATGTGGTTTAGTTTAGTTGTGGGGTAGTTGTAGTGGGGGGGGGGGGGGGTTATGGGGAGATATAGATTTGTTAAGGTATATTGGAGAGGAGTTGGGGGGGGAGGGGTTGGGGGGGTGAGGTGGGGGGGGGGGTGTTAGGGTTTTTGGGTTTTGTGGGGGGTTTTTGGGGTTTGTATTATGGGTGATGAGGTTGTTTATTTTTTTGTTAGTGTTTGTGTTTGGATTTGGGGGTGTTTTTTGGTGTTGGTTTTTTGGGTGATTGTTTTTGGGTGATGGTGTGTTTGGGGTTTTATTGTGGGTGGGTTGAGGGTGTTGGGGGTTTGGGTTTTTGTGTTTATTTAGTTTTGGGGGGGGGTGTGGTTGTGGGGTGGGGGTTTTTGGGTATATTTATTATTTTGGTAGGGTTGTGTGGGGGGTGGGTGTGTTATGTGGGGAGGATGGGGGGGGGGGTGATGTGTTGGGTGTTGGGGGGGGGTGGTGGGGTGGTTATGTGGTTTGTTTGGTGTTTGGTTTGGTGTGTTGGTGTTGGGGGTGGGTATGTTGTTTGGGGTTTATGTTGGGTGGTTTGGTTTGGTTTGGTGAGGGGGGTTTTTTTGGTAATGTTTTTTGTTTGGGGATGGGGGGTGTTTTTTAGAGGGGAGAGTGGGTTGGTTGGGTGGAGGGTTAGGGGTGATTTAGTGTTAGGGGTGGGTTTGAGGGGGGGAGTGGGGAATGATAGGATAGGGTTATTGAGGATAAGGGGGGTAGTTTTGGGTTATGGGTTTGTGTGGGTGATGTGGTTGGGAGGGGTTGGTGAGTGGAGATTTGGATATTTTTGGAGATGGTGTGGGAATTAAGTTAGGGGGTTTTGGGTAGAGAGTAGATGGGGATTTGGGGGTGTAGGGTGGGTGTTATATGGATGGTTTAGGAGAATAGAAGTGGGGGATGGAATTGGTGGTGGTAAATGGGGGTTGATGTGTATTTTATGGATGTATGGTGTTGGGGGTGGTTTTTTTAAAGGGGAATGGGTGTTAAATTGGTGAGGGGTTGGGAGGGGATATGGGTGGTATTTTGTTGAGTGGTAGATTGATTTTTGGAGGTGGGGAAGAGAATATGGATAGATAGGGGGGGTGGGGTTTAAGATGGGAGTTTAGTAGTAGGGAGAAGAGTTATTTGAAGGAGGATTGGTAGGGGGGGTATGGAGGGATTTGGTTGGATAAAAATTGGGGTGGGGGTTTGTGTGTATGGGGTGGGTAGGGTGGTTGGGGGGGGGAAGTAGTTGGTTAGGGGTTGGGGAGATTAGGGAAGGGGGGGAGGTTAGGTTTGATAGTGTATATAGGAGGGGGATGGGGGGGTGTTGAGAGGGTGAGGTTAGATGGAGGGGTATATGGGGGGGGTATGAGGGAAGATTATTTATTATGTTGATGGGATATGGATGATAGGGAGATATGGTAGTGGGTGTTTGGGGGGGGGGGGTAGATGTGGGGTTTATGGGGATGGAGGTAGTTGTTGGGGAGGGATTGTGGATATTTGGGGGGGGGTATGGGGGGGGGGGTTTTATGGTAGTTGGGAAGGAGGAGATGAGTATGTAGTGGGAGGGTGAATATTAAGATTATTTGGGGTGGTTAATAGTATTGTAATTTGAGGGTAGTGTTATTTTGTTGGGGGTTTGGTGATGTTGTGTTATATTGGTTTGGGAGGGGGGGGTGGGGGGGGGGAGGTTGTGGGGGGGGGATGGTGGGTTGGGTGTGGAGGAGGTGGGGGGGGGTGGGGGGGTTAATAATGGGATGGGTTGATTAATGTGGGGGTGGTATGGGATTGTATTGGAGATGGTATGGATGTTTTTGAGAAGTTTGAGAGGGGTTTTTTGTGTGGGGGTTTGTAGGAAAGGAATGAATATGGGAGGAGGAGAGGAATAGGAATATGTGTTAATAGGATAGTGGGGTAGGGGAGAAATATATGGTGTGAGAAGGGGTTAAGGGGGATTTAAGGGTAAAGGGGGTAGGGTGAAGAGGGTAAGGGGGGGGGGATTGAGAGGATGTTGGGAATTAGAGAATGAGATTGGGGGTAATTGGAGGATTTGATTAGAATGATGGGTGGGGATTGGTTTAAAAGAGTTTGTAGGGGAGGTAGGGTGTGTGTGGGGGGGAAGGGGGGGGTGTGTTAGAGGGGGGGGGGGGTATTTATGTGGGTTTGGAATAGGTGGGTAATGTTTGGTGGGGGGGTGTTTTGAAGGGGGGTTTTATGATAGGGGGTGTGGGGTGTTTTGTGGGGGTAGAGGTAATAGTTAATTAGTGGTTTGTTTTATGGGATTTGGTTTATGGTTTGTAGGGGGTAGGGGGGATTTTTTTGGGTGTGTGTTTGGGGTGGTGGGATTTTGGGTAGGGGGGAGAATGTGGGTTGTGAGAAGGGGGGGGTTGGGGTGTTATGGAGGGGTATGATTGGTTGAGGAAGTTAGGGGAAAGAATTGGGATATGGTAAGATGGGGGAATGGAAGGGAGGAGGGGTGGGGTTTATAGGTTGTAGGGGTGGGGGGGGGATATTTGGGTATGGGATTGAATTATTTTGTATATTATTTTTGATATGGTGGTGGGGTGGTGGGAGGAGGGTGTTTGTGTGTGTTGTGTTGTGTGTGTGTTATTGGGTTATTATATAAGTGTGGTGGAGTAAGGGGGGGTATGGGGGGTGAGAATATGGTTGGAGTATTTTGAATTTGTTTATATTTTGGTTTGTGGTATATGTGTTGGAAATGTAGGGGTGAGGGAGATGGAGATTGGGGGGAGGGAGGGTGGGGAAGGTATAGGGGGGGGGGGAGATGTTGGTGTGGGGTATGATAGGGTAGGTTGAATGAGGTTGGGATTGAAGTTTGTGGGGGGGGAGGTTATAGTTATATGGGTTGGGTGTTTGTAGTGGGGATGGAGAGATAGGGGTTTGGGGATGGTATAAAGTTTGTTGGAAGGAAATAAAAAGATGTAAGTGGATGTAATTGGATGTAAAAGATGTTAAAAGTATAGGGTGAAATGAGGTGTATATGGAGAATGGGTAGGGGTGAGTGTTGAATTATATTAGAAAGAGATAAGGGTTTATGTGAGGTGGGTATTAGGGAGAAGGAAGTATATGTGTTATGAGGTTGTTATAAGGTGGTGGGGGAGGGGTTGAAGAGGAATGATGGTGGTAAGATAAGGGGAGGGTTGGTTGAGGTATTTTGTAATAAGTGAATTATGAGTATGTTTTTGTAATGTGATGTATTGTGGTTGTGGGATAAGTGGAGTGGGGGGTAGTGTGGAAAGATGTTGTGGGGGGAAATTGATTGTTGGTAGGGGAGTTGGGGTTTGGGGTAGAGATGGGTGGTTTGGATTGGAGTTGGGGGGGGTGAAATGGGGGTTGTTTTTTTGGTGAGGGTGGGGTGGTGAGGGGGAGGGGGGAGGATGGGGTTTTGAAGTGGTATATGGGTGGGTGGAGGGGAAGGGATGGGGGGTGAGGGAGGTGTGGGGGGTGGTAAGGGGATGTTTGGGAGGGGTGTTAAGTTTGTTTTTGAAGGAATTGGATTAGGGGGGGTTAGGTTGGGATTTGGAAGGGGAGTTGGGGTTTTTAGTTGGGGGGGTGGTTTGGTGTAGGGTGGGGGGGTGGGGGTTATTGAGGTTGGGGGGGATGGTATTTGATTGGAGGGTATGGTGAGAGTGTGGGAGTGGGGGTGATTGGTTTTTTATAGTAGTGTTTGGGGGGTATTATGAAGGGTTATTGTGGAGTTTAAATGGAGTTTTTGTTGGTGGGGGGTGGGTGGGATGGAGTTTGGGGGGTGGTATTTTGTGTTTTGGGAGGGGGGAAGGGGGAATTGTGGGATGGGGGGGTTAGGTTGTGGGGGTTGGGGGTGGATGGTGTGGAAAAAGATTGGGTTGGGGTAGATTTGTAGTAGTGTATAGTGTAGTGTGTTGTTGGATGTGTATTAGTGTTGGGTTGGGTTTTTTTGTTTTGGTAGGGGGTTTGAAGATATAGTGTGGTTTTTATAGATAGAAGGGATGTATTAATTGGATTTGATTTATGGTATATGGGGGGGGGGGTAATTGTAGTGGGATGTGTGTTATGTTGGGTATGTTGTATAAGATATGTGAAGTGGGTTGGGTTGATTTTTGGAGGGAGGTATGTGTTGTTTGATATGGGGTATGGGGATAAGTTGGGGGGTGGTTATGTTATATTGGGTATGAGTAGGTTGTTAGAAGTGGGGGGGGGGAAATAGTTTGTTTGATTTAGGGTGTGGAGATGGTTTTTATTTGTAATTTGATATTATTTTAAGGGAGTTGGGGGGATGGTGTGTGGGGGGGAAGGGAGTTTAGGGTGTGGGTTTGAGTGAAGAGTTTAATGGGAAGTAGGGGGAGTTGGGATAGGGGTGGTTGTTAAGTGTTTAGTGTGAGTATGTGTTTTGTATTGTTTAGGATAGTGGTGAAATGGGAAGGATGGGTTGAAGAAGTTTTTTTGTGGTGGGGGGTGTTTTGGGGGTGATTTGGGTGGGATTGGTTGAATAAGGGATGAGGGTGGGAAGTTTGGGTTATTTGTGAGGGGTGTGTTTGTTAGTTGGTTGATGGTGGTGAAATGTTGATTGGTAGGGGGGTTTGGTAGTGAGGGGAGGGTAGTGGTTTAGGGGTTATAAAGTTTTTTTGAAATAGATGTGGGGATAGGGGGTAGGTGGTTTATTTGTTTGGTGGGATGGGGGGAGGTGGAGAGGGGGAAGAGGGGGGGGGGGGAAGTTTTATGGGGATAGGAGAAGAAATAGGGTGTTTGTGTGGTGAGATGTGGTATGAGGGGGGGATGTGAGAAAGGTGGATTGGGTGTGGGGTTGGTGGGAGGGGGGTAAAAGGGGGAAAGTGGGATAGGGGGGGTGTTTTATGGATGGGGGGTGAGGTGGTTGATTTTGTTGAAGGGTATGGGGTATAGGGAGTGGGGGGGGATTGGGGTGGGTTGAGTGTGGGAAGAGGGGGAGAGGTGTTGGAAATGGTGTGGGGGTGTGAGAGGATTTTAGGATTGTTGAAGGTGGGGTGATTTGTTTGGGGAGAAAGGTGGTTGTTGTTGGTGGAATTTAAAAATTGGTTTATAGGGTGTTTGGTGGGGTTAAGTTTGAAAGGGGTGGTTGGATAGGTTGGGTGAGTATTGTGGATGGGTTGGGGAGGGTAGTGGGTGGAGAGGGGGATGGGTATGTTTTTTAATGGTTTGATAAGGGGGGATTGGATAATGGGGGGGATTTTAGGGGGAGGTGGGAGAGGGGAAGGTTGTATATATGGTGTAGATGGGGGGGGGGGGGTTAGTGGTAGGTGTGGGTTTTATGGTGGGTTTGTGGAGGGGTGTTGTAGTTTTTTATGATTTGTGTGAAAGATTGGTTGGTTTGGTGTTGAATTGTTGGGGGAGTGTTGTTTGAAGGGATGTAAGTATAGTGTTATGTGAGGGGGGAGAATGGTGGTAGTTTTTGATGTGAGGTTTATATGGGGATGTTTGTAGATATGTAGGATGTAGTGGTGTTGTGTATTGTTGTGTAAGGTGTGGGAATATGGGGGGTGTTTGGTGGGGGGATGAGGGGGATATATGATATGGGTGTTGGTGGTTTGTTTGGATTAGGGTGGTATATTTGATTGTGGGGAGTGTGAGTGTGTTGTGTATTGTTTTGGTTGGTTTTTTTTGTGTGGGAGTGTTAGGGATAGGGAGGTTGGTGGGTATGTGGGGGGGGTGTGTGTATGTGATAGGTGGTGTGTGTTGTGGTTTTGATTTGTTTGTGGGTTTGTGGTTGTGGTGGATGTTGTTGGTGGGTTTTAGGATGTATGTATAGGGAAGGGGGGGAAATATGAATGAGAGGTAGGTGATGAGTAAGGGATGTATGTTTAAAGGAGGTGAGTGAGGGGGGAAAAGTTTATGTTTGGTTTTATAATAGGGGATTGAAAGTGGTAGAGGGGTGTTTAATGGTGGAGAGTAGGGAGGGGAAGGGAAGGGGTTATGGTGAGAGAGATATTATTATTAGGTGTGGTTGTGTTGTGATAGGGGTATTTAATGTTAATTGAAGTTTTGGTTAGGAGGGTGAAATTGGTTGTGGGGGTGATAGGGGGGGAAGGGTGGGTGGGGGTATTGTAAAGAGTTTAGATTGGGAAGAGATATGGAATATAGGGTTTGGGATGGTTGTGGTATGGGGGTTTTTATATGGGTGGTGGTAGGGGTGTATGTATGGGTGAGAGATGTGAGGTGAGATGTGGGTGAGGGGAGATGTGGATGTGGGAGATGTGGAGAAGTGGAGTTGTTGTTGTGTTTATGAGGGTGTGGGTAGGAAGGGTTAATTGGGGGATGGTTAAATGAGTGGGGTGAGGTGGTGGTGGGTGGAGTGGTGTTGTTGTGTTAGGTTGGTGGGGGGTTGAGTGAGAGGTGGGTAGAGAAGTAGGGTGGGGGGGATTAGTGGTATAGTTATGGGAAGAATAGGGGGTTAGTTGTTTGGGGTGAGGTGAGGTGAGGTAAGGGGGGGTTGTGGGATGTTGGTGGATTTAGGGGTGGGGGGTTGGTGTGGGTATGTTTGTAGTAAAATTAGTGTGGGGGTGAGGAGGTGTGAGGGGGGGGGGATAGTGGGTGGTGTGTTTGAGTTGGTGTGATGGGATTGGTTGGGTGGGTGATTGGGTGGGGTAGTGGGTGTTTAATGTGTTTGTTGGGGGGTGAGTGTTGGATGTGGGGGGTTTTTTTTTTGAGTTGGGGAGAGGTTGTGGTTAGGTAATGTAAGGTTTATGTGGGGGGGGGTAGTTGGGTGGGGTTGAAGGTTGGGTATGGGGGGGGGTGGGGTTGTAATTTTGATGTGGTTTAGTTTGTGTATGGTGGGGGGGGGGATTAGGTTTAGGTGTTTGGGGGGGGGTTTATTGGTGTTGTATGTAGGGTGTGTTGGGGGGGGGGGGGGGGGGTTTTGGTGGGGTTTTGTTTTTATGGTGGGGGTTTTTTGGTGTGGGTAGGGGGGGGGGGGTATGGTGGGGATTGTGTAGTATTTTTGTTTTGTTTGTTTATTTGTTTGTGTGTGATGGTTTGGGTTTATTTTTGTTTTGGGGGGTTTTGGGTTGGTGGTGGGGGGGTGGTGGTGTTTTGTGGTTGGGTGGGGGTATATGGGGGAATTTGTGGTTGGGATATATTTTTTGGTTTGTGTTTGGGGTATTGGTGGTGGTGAGGTGAATGGTGTGGAAGTAGGGGTGGAGTGATGAAGGGAGATGGTTGGAAAGGGGTATGGGAGGGTTTGTTTTTATATTAAATTGGTTTATTGGTGGTTGTAGATTAAGGTTGTTGGGATGGGGGGGAAGGTGATGTTTTGTTTTGTTTTGTTGGGTGGGGGGAAGGGGGTTTAGGGTATTGGGGATATGTAGGGTTATTGGAGGGGTGGTGGTTTGGTGGGTGGTTGGTTGGAGGAGTGTGATTGATATGAGGGGGGGGGGGGGGTTTGGGTGGGGTGATATGGAGGGGGGGGTTTTTGGGGGGGGTGATGGGGGGTAAGTATGGGTTGTTTGGGGTGTATTATTGTTTGGGGGGGGGGGTTGGGGGTGAGTTTGGTTGGTTTGGATGTTGAGGGGGTGGGGGGGGTGGGGGGTAGTGGTTGTGGGGGTGGGGTGGTGGGATGGTTTTTTGGTTATTGGTGTTTTGGTGGTTTGGGGGGGTTTGGTTGTTGGGTGTGTTTTTTGGGTGGGTTTTGGGTGTGTTGGGTTATTGTTTATGTGGGGGGGGGAGTGGTTGGGGTAGGGTGTTGTTTTTGGGGGTTGGGTGGTGGGTTTATTGGTGGTTTTTGTTTGTTTAGGTATTGGAGGGGGTTGGGGGGTGGTGTGATTGTAGGGTTGTTTGGGGGGTATGGGGTGGGTGGTGTTTTGTTTTTGGGGGGGATGGAGGGTTTTGTGGTGGGGGGGAGGTGGTTGGTGGGTGGATTTTGTGGTGTGGGGGATTGGGTTTGGGGGGGTGGTTGGGTGGGGTGTTTGTTGGGTGGGGGGGGTAGTTGGGTATGTGGGTATTTGGTTGGGGAGGGGGGTTTGGTGAGGGTTGGGTGTGTTGGTGTGTGTGTGTGGGGGGGTGTGGTGATATGTAGGGAGGGATTGAAGGTGGGTTGTGTTATGTGGATTGGGGTTTGTGTTGGTTTTTTTTGAAGTGGGGTATAGGATATTTATAGGGGTTGAGGGGGGATGTTTATGTGTTGTTTGTTATGTAATTGGTTAGTGGGGGGTATAGGGGGGGGGGGAGGGTTTGTGGGGGATATATGGGGGGGGGGGGGGGGGGGGATTTATTGGGGTTTAATGTGGGAGGGGGTTGGGGTGATTGAGTTTGTTTTGAAGAGTGATGTATGGTGAGGGGGGGGGGGTTGGATTAAAGATTTGGGGGGGAGATATTGATATGTTTGTTTGTTTAAGGGAAGATAATTTGGTTGGGGTAGAGATATAGGGGGGGGGGAGGTTGAGTATTGGGACATATTGGGGTATGGGGGGGTGGTGGGGAAGTAGGAGGGGTGAGTGAGGTGGTAGGAATTGTTATAGATGGTATATGTGGTAATTTGTATTAAATGAGAATGAGATGGTGTTTTAGAGGGGTAAGAATTGGATATGTATATTTGGGGGTGTAGGAATAATTGATGGGGGTGTGGTTTTTGGTTTATTGGTTATGGTTTGGGAAGTTATAAGGGGGGATTTGTGGAATTGTATGGTGTTGGGGGTGGGGTATTTTGTGGAGGGGAGGGTTTATTGGATTATGTGGGTTGTGGGGGATTGTTGTGGGTGTTGGGAGGGGGGGTTTGAGGGGGAGAGGGGTGTTGGGGGGGTGGTTGATTTGGAATTGAATTGGGGGGGTGGTTGTTTGGGTTGTTGTTGTGTTTTGGTATTTTAGGTAGGTGGGAAGAGATTGGGGTGTGAGATTAGGGAAGGAAGAGAGGGGGTATGGGGGTTAAGAGAAGTGGGGGGGGGTGATGTTGAAGGTTGAGATATGGGGATTAAGGGGGGAGGTGAAAATGAGGTTGGGTGTGTAGGGGGTGGTATGTGTAATGTGGTGATGAGGGGAGGTAGGAAAGGAGGATAGGAATATGGAATGGGAAAGGTGGTATATGTAGGGATAGAGAAGAGAGAAGATAAAGATTATTGGTTGGGGGGGGAATGGGAATGATGAATTGAGTGGTTGGTGGATGATTGGTTGAGAGTAGGATTGATGGGGAGGTTGTTGGTGATGAGTAGAATTTTGGTATTAGTTTGGGGGATGTTGGTGGTATGGTGGAATGAGATTGTGGGGTTGGTGATTGGGAGTTGTTGGGTAGGTTGGGTGGGGGAGGGGGGAGGGGGGGGGGTGGGGATTGGGGGGTAGGGTGAGTGGTGTAGTTTTTGTGGGGGAGGGTTGGGGGGGTGGGTTGGGTGTGTGGTTGTAGTGGGTAGTAATGTTGTGTGTATAGATTGTAGGGATGGGGGGGGGGGGGGGGTAGGGAGGGGGTGGGGGAATTAGGTGTATGGGGGGTTTTAAATTGTTTATGGTGTGTTAGGGGGTTTTTTGTTTTTGTTGATATAAGATAGTGGTTTAAGGTATGGTAGATGGGGGAAGGGGGTGGTTTAGGGTGTTGTGGATTAGGGGTAGGATAATTAGAGGGGTAGTAGTTTTTTTAGGGTGTGTGGTTATTGGGTTGATAATATTTGGGTAGGGGGGGTTTGTTGTTTTGGTTGTGTGTATGGGGGGGGGATGTTGTTTATGTGGGATATGGATGGGGGGTTTGGGGGTGGTATGAGGGGAGGGGGGGTGGGGGGATGTGAGATTGTGAGGTGATTTTAAGGTGTGTTTTGGGGGGATGAGGGGGGGGGTTTTTATATGGGGTGATTTTGGGGGATATGGGGAAAGGGTTTGGTATATGAGGTCGGGTTTGTGGGGGTATTATGTTGGTGGAGTTTGATGTGTTGTTTATTTGGTTGATATGGGTGTTGAGGGGAATTTATGATTGGTGGTGGGGGGGGGGTTTATGGGGGGGAAATTATGGGTGTAGGGGTGAGAGGGAAGGGGTGTGGGTGTTGGTAGTTTTTTGGGGGTTTGGTAATTGAATGAAGGGGGGGGGTTTATATGGTATTATTGATGAGTTGAGGGAGGGGGTGGAATATTGTGATGTATGTTGAGGGGGGAAGAGGTTTGGGGGTTTTAAAGGGGGGGGGGGGGGGAATGGGGTTGGATTTGTGGGTATTTGTTTAGTGGGGTGGTTTGTGGGGTGTGGGGATGGTAGGGGGGGGTAGGTGGTAGAGATGTGGTTAGGATGAAATTATGTGGGGAGTTTGTTTTTGGGTTTTTTTTTAGAGTTTTGGTATAAAGTTTAAGTGTATGTTATGTTGGTTATTGTGGATTTTTTTATTGATTATTTTTGTTGGTAAGGGGGGAAGAGTTGGGGTTATAGGGAAAGGTGGGGGGAAGTGTGAATTTGGGTAGGAGGGGGGTGGGGGATTAGAGGGGGGGTGGGGGGGGGGGTGATATGAGTGTGGGGATATGTAGTAATAATTAAGGAGGAATGGGGGGGAGGTTTATTTATTTGGATAATGGGTGGATATGATGGGTTTTGGAAAGGAAAGGATGATGTTTTAGGTTAGGGGTTAGTGGGTGGTTTAATTATGGGGTGTAGATAGAGGGGGTGATTGATGGTGAGATATGGGGGATAGGAGAAGTAGGGGGGGGGGGGTGGAGGGAGGGAGGGGGAAAGGTGGGAGGTGATGTATGGAGAATTAATAGGATTATAATGAAAGGAGTAGATGAATGAGGGGATGGGATTTGGGATGATTTGGGTTGGGGTTAAGGAGAGAAGAGATAGTAGTATAATTAGTGTTGATGATATGTTTGGGTGTGTTTGGTATTTTGATTGGGGGGTGTTGGTTGGGGGGTTAATGATAAGGTGGATTGGTAGGATATATGTGAAGGGGAGATTGGATGGTATGTGAGATGGGTGATGGTGGGGATGAGAAATAAGGGTTGATGGAGGAAGGTGAAAGATGGAAGAGGAAGGGGTGTTGTAGATGGATGGTAGATTGGGGATTGATGAGTTTGAAGATTGGGGATGATGAAATTAGGGTTTTGGGGGGGGAGGGAGGAAGTTTTGGTTGTATTGGGGGTGGGTTGGAGGTGTTGTGTTGGGGGTAGTTTAGAAGGGAGTGATATGGAAGGATAGGTAAGATGTGTTGATGGGAAAGGAAAGGTAGGATGAATGGAATTAGAGGGGGAGGGTGTTGTGAATGGGATAAGGGGGATGGGGGTTTGAGAAGAAGTTGAGGGGGGGGGTAGGGTGATATAAGGGAGAAAGTTTTGTAATGGATGTGATGATTAGAGAGGGGATAGAGATTGGAGGAAAGGGATTGGGAGATTGTGAAGGGGGATGGGAAGTTTATATAGTGTTTTTATTGGGTTTGGATGGTTGGGGTGTATTTGGGTGTTTATATGTTGGTAAGGGTAGAGTTGTTGTGAGGGGGGAGTATTGAGAGGAAGATAAGGGATGATTGGAAAAGGGGGGGAGTGTTGGAAGAGAGGGGGGGGGGGGTAAGAAGGATTGGGAGGAAAGTTAATTAAAGGGATGGGGGGGATTGTTTTAAGAATGGGAGGATGATTGATTGAGGGGGGGGGGGAGAAGATGGGTAGTGATTGGGGGTTGGGTTATGTTGGGATATATAGTGGGTATTGTAAGATTGGGGGTATAGTTTTTAAGGGTTGGAAGTAAGAGGAGAAGATTTTTTAATTTGTGGATGGTAGGAAGAGTTGAGGAGGGAAGGGTTTGGGATGTGGGAGGATGAGGTTGTAAGTTTTTGTGGGGGGGGGGGGGAGATGGGGGGTTGGAATTGGAGAGTTTGGGTGGTTTGATGGGGGGGGGGATAGGGATGGTTTTGTGTTGGGGTATGGGGTTGGGGTAAGGGTTGATGGGGGGGGAGTAGATGGGAGGGGGGAAGTGGGAAGAGGAGGAGGGGGGGGGAGGATGGGGATTGAGTGGAGGGGTAGAGAGAGAGGAGGGAATGATGTGGAGGTTATAGAAAATAAAAATTGAGGGGAATGGAGTTTTAAAGTAGAGATAGTAAGGGAGAAGGTATTTGGTGAGGTGTAGTATGGGGGGAGAGAGGGGTAGAGGGTAGGTGAAAGGTATTTTTATTTAGGGTGGGTGGTATTGTAGGATGTGGATGGGGATATGTGTGGGTGTGGTGTATAGATAAGGTAGGGGGAGGGGTAGGAGAGTGAGGAAGATATAGAAGGGGTAAGGGGGGGAAGGAAGGGGAGGGTTATAAGAGAAGGGGAAGAGAATTGAAGATATAGGAAGAGGGGAAGAAGGATTGAGATGAATAAGGGTGGAAGATGGAGAGTTGTGGGGTTAGGGGGATTTTTTGCCGAGTTAAAGGACGTGTCATCTTGGCCACATCATTTACATTTGGTGTAATATATATCTCATCACCAAAAAACGGAGAGAGGATAAGAGGATGAGAGTTACTAAAAAGGTAAATGTTGTGAGGGCCAAGTTGCTCAGGACTTATAATCGGAAATAGTGACACAAAGATTACATCACTAGAGATTGAGGCACTCTAAGCTCGGCTCGAGCTGCAGGAGGCCCAGAGGGCACTGCAGGATCTCGGGACGACAAGAGAGAGAGATTCACAAGCCACGACAGGAACAGCTCAGGGAGTGTCGCAGGAAGATCGCTGCAGCTCAAAGCCAGTCCAGTGAGTGCTATTTATCCATATGTGAAACTGAAACTGAAGTATTGTCTCATACACGGTTGTTTTTGGTACAGGGCTCATCAGCCGTCAGCGCGACACTGCTTCGTCCGCTAATTTTGTCGGTGGCAGAGTGAGCGTCCGGGTATTAGAACTGGAACGAAGTGTGCAGAATATGAGCAGCAGCATGGAGCAGCTACATAATCGCCTTCGCCATGAAAGCCAACAGAAGCGACGGGCTCGAGACAGAAATGCTACTAGAACCCATATGAGTAAAGGTACAAAACAAGACACTGCACAATTAAACATTTTAATATGAAAGTGAAAACAATGATTTAAATAAACTTTAGGAATTGGAAATTAAAAAATGAGCACAACAAAAGATTTAGGATTAAGACGAAAACATTAGCAGCATTTCAGCCGACGCAACGACGCAGGCCGGCAGTAGATGGCTCTGTGTTTCATTAGAGTGAGAAAAGCAGGTAGGACCGGCGATGTTTTTAGTGTCCCTGAGGTAATTGCTAATAGTGTGTGCTTTAATGTAATTCACTCTGAGCAGAAAAATGAGGTAGCAAAAACGCTGGCTGGATGAAGAAATGGAGCGTGTTCTTGACCAAGAGAAAAGGTTAGAAGACCTGGCAAGGAGAGGCTCACAAAAGAGAGGACATTCTTCGCCAAAAAGGAGCCCTCTGCAAGAGCGCAGCGTGACTTGGAGACAAGAGACTTTCGCTCGAGTCAGGGTGGTTGATTGCTTTAAACTTTGTATATCTACAAACTGATTTAAATTTGTTTTCTATTGTGTCTCCTCAGGCACTGAACAAGGATCTTGAGACCTTGACTGGAAAAGTGAGACGCTTGAAGAGAGTTGAGCGAGAGAATGGTCTTTTAAGTAGCGGTAGTGGCTCAAGACACACAGATTCGGCAGTGATTTCCAACCTGCGCGTGAAAAAAGGACTCTCTACTCAAGCAAAGAGTGTAACAGGATGATAACTCAGGCAGGTAACCTCTCGCCCTGAGGTCATGCCAATTGAATAGACCCGGAGTTTAAGTCCGCAATTATACTTCTGAGAGAACATGCATACATTGTAATTAATTTTTAGGAAGAAATAACCCTTTCCATTGGATGAAGCAATTGGAGGGCTTTAGATGCTGCCATGAGTACAAATGAGCTATTAGCTCAAAGGCAAGGCACTGAGGCCTCGGCCAAGCCTCCTGTTGAGATGAACCTCATGGCTAAACGAGCAACCTTCTTCCTCTGAGACAAGAGCACTGCTGTGCAAGTAACTTTGACAAGGTCTGTTCAAATTAAGTTCATCCCCAATTGATTTTGTTAATATATAGCATTTTATGGAATGATTATAGTGGTGTCCGCTACGTGAACGAGGAGCGAAGCTTCAACTTTCCTTTGCTGGAACATGAAATGCAGCTGGAGGACATATCAGCGGCTGGGGCAGTGGTTGGAGAATGCTCTTTGATCGACTCAGCTGGACACAGACCGCCCGCCTTCACACAACTACAGATAGGAGCATGAGCAAAGTGGTGGCAGCTCCTGCTGCCAGTAGTTGTCGAGGTATAAAATGTATGGTTACCTCTAGTTAAACAGTTCAGTTCTTATGGCTGAAGGAAGGGCTTTCAATGATTGAGGGATGTGAAATGGTAATAAACCAAAATGAATATGTCTTAAGGTTCGTCTCAGTCATTATTTTTGTAACATGAACAAAGAAATTGTCAACTGATTTGACAGACACTTGCCGTGACGCAGCAGATATTAACAACAATCAAAAGTTGCCTGGTTGCAGTATCTAAACTTGCCCCATTATGTGAGTGAGAGCACAGTCAGCAGATATCACAGGCAGAGCTGATTCTCCAAAATGGGCCTAATGTAAGCGCCCTCCCACACTCGGCACTTTATTTTACCAGCCTGTAAAATGATTTTAACTTGTAATAACTTCCATTTAACTTTAGGAGAATAACACAGTCAATCATCAGAAATTGCTTTAAGCATGTTAAATAAAGAGATACTGCTACTTTTTTGATACCCATTAGGCTCCATATACTGTATGTTGCCTTAGCTGCTAGTACTGGGGCCATTTCAGTTTCAAGTATTTAACTATAAAATTACATTGAATTGTTCATATCAAACAATTACAATCTTATAAGACAGAAGACTTTACATTTCATATTTAAAGTAGCAATATGTAAGATTTGCATTTCAAGTCATCAATAAATGGTCCTAATAGGTCAAAAGGTATTAATAAACTATTAATAAATAAATTATGTATTTATTTATTTATTATTTAATAAAATATATTAGTGACATGTTAGTACCATATGAACCAGCCCGGACTCTGAGGAGCACAGGGACTGGACTCCTGTTAGTGTCCAGAGTCAGAACTAAACATGGGGAGGCTGCTTTTCAGATTCATGCTGGTAAAATCTGGAACAATCTTCCTGAAGATGTGAGACAGGCCTCCTCTCTGACAATGTTTAAAACCAAGTTAAAAACGGTGCTGTTTAGCTGTGCATACAACTGAGGGATTTTATATTTTTATCTTTCGTTTTAATGTTTGTTATTAAAAATAACGAACATTAAAATTAGTTTTACAGCCCCTAAATCTTTGTTGTAATTGTCATTTCGATGTCCCGCCCTCCACCGTTTTATAAATCAGAAAGTCTGTGATCCGGGTTGCCAGAACGCACCACTAATCTCTTGGTAAAGTAACATGTGGCCACAGTACTAAAAAGGTCTTGTTATGATTCTCAAATATTACTGACAAAACAAGGAATACAATGAGGAAAAAGGTGTTGGTTATAGATTTGTTCTTGACAAAACTCATTGTGTGCATATTTGGCAACCTAAGTCAGGGATAGCCTGGCTCTCGGCAGACCCTTGTAGTTCCGCCATGCTCCATCAGAGACGTTTCGCTTCACACACAAGGGTCTGGTGTCGAGCGCATAGCAAACTCCTTCAGCAGATCAGAATATAATTGACCAATCCGGATCGCTGGTGCTACGTTGGGTTTGCACCGCCTTCTCAAGCGTGTCTCACGAGGCAGCGATAGAAATTCAAGATGGGGAATATAAAGTCCGTGAATAAAAAAAAAAAGTTTAAATACGAACGAATTAAGACACAGATGTCACTTTTAAGTCAATATGAGGCGAGATGTTGATGGTTCTGTGTTCTATGTGTGTTTTAAGAGTCAAATGTTTGTGTAAAGTTTGGTTTATGCACTGGTTCCTGTCTACAACACTACGCAGCAGGGTTGCCAGGTTGGGTGGTTTCCCGCATACTTTTTTTCCAATAGACTTGTAGGTAATAGATAAACAAAAAGACAAAAAACAGAATCATGATAGCCCAAGTTGATTACATTACGTTTTTAGCCAAAAAATCCTTCTGGGTGTTTTTTTTTTTGGGGCATTCTCGCTGGTTTTGGGCTGGAAAATCTTGCTGACATTTGGCAACCCATGGTAGTCTTGTGCTTCGATGTGAGTGGTTGAAGGAGGACGTCATTCAAGATACAGTATATTGGACAAGTGGTTTATCCAATCACATACAAGGATTTTGAAAATCCTCGTATGTGAAATCCAACCGCTATGGTTCAGACCCAGACCCATGTGAGAAACACAGCGATCTACAAGGGTCTGGAGAGAGTCAGGCAAAGTCAGGGAGAGTGTGGCTTAGCCTGACTCTCGCAAGACCCTTGATTTGTACATATTGCTCCTTTAACCAGTTTAGCATGTAGTAAAGGAAACAGCATATCAATTGCTTAATTTCAATAAAAGTAGTGAAACACAGCAGGCTGGGAGTCCTGTTGTATGTGCTCACATGGTTACAGCATTCTGTTTCCCTCTGATGGGGATCAAAGCGTTAAGTATTAGTGTGTTTGATTTTGCCGCTGATGTAAAGTTAATGGGGAAAAGCACTGACGTTAAATGAACGTGAGGATTTCACCACATGTTTGATGTATTGTTGCATGTTGCTGTTGTCCACGTTAGTTTCTCTAATATTCGGTGACTGACTGAAGGAACGTAAAACTCGTTGCATGTTGAGCCAAATTGGACAGCGCAGATCATTTCTGTGTGATTGATGTGAACTGGCTGTTTTGTTTGATCTTTTGCTTTGGCTTTGGATATGAAAGCTTAATTCAAAGTCAAAGTCTGACTTTCATCATTGGCACATCAAAGTTAGTGATTTATTTCCCCATATCAATCAAAACTACAATTTGTATTTGTTCTTTTTTCACATAAATACATGAAGTGTCAACTCAAACCAGCAAAAATGTCAATTCGTTACTGGTTGCAACTGGAATGTGGAACTTGAAATATATTTCCGACTATAATATATAAACAAATTATGTTGAAACAAATTACAACATTCAAAAGATACACAAACATTTTTTAATTAGTGAACATAGCGTGGTTAACAGTAGAACTCAGAGCAGTCAATTTAACAGCTTCTCATTTTGGAAGTGTATTCAATCAGCACAGGTCGTCCTAACAACGTGATTTTTTTGCATGAAAATAATCTTTTATGTTTTGAATGTGATTAATTCTAGCTTTAATTCCCAGAGCAGACATTTTGACTGCTCCATTCACTTAAATGTAAAATGCAAACGGTAGCCTTTTTTAGTCGCTGGAAACCAATATTTAATGGTGGTTGAAACCCCTTTCTTTCAACGTGCTGGTTCTGGACTGGTCCTGTGTTGGGCCAACTTCGTTTTCCACCAAGTGCTAGTTACCATAGTGACACACTGTTGACAGCAGGTAATATTTACTTGATTTTAATGCGTGAAAAATGACACACAAAAAAATCAGACATCCTTTGATTTGAATGGGAAATCATCAAAATAAACTATTCTGTGAGGTGTTGCGGTTTCAGATTTCTGGGGGCTCTTGTGTTAGAAGCTCATTTAATTTTGCACACACCATTAAACAAGTCAAATAACTATGGGTTTGGATCTCGATCTCTGGTGTAAACCCGTATTGATAATGTGGCTTAAAAGCATTCGATATCGATGTTTGCAGTGCACCAGTTTATACATAAATTATGACAAAAGTGCGTTGAAATTGTCAGTTCATAATTACTCAGAATAACAAGCTACTGCTAAGCTCATCCGTACATCATGGCAAAGTCGATAACACCATCAAATCTTATTAATTGGAGATTATAAAGACCGACGACTGAACCAAAGCTGCCAGTTCAAACATGATATTTTCCCCTCCTCACTCATTATAATTCTTTCTTCTGTAATGACTTGTAATCTCGGGTACCAGGAAAGCACACGGTGCTAATTGCACCTTTTTGCAAAACTGTTTCGGTATGTCGCTGCTCTGAAGACGACACATTATACGCATTTTTGTTTTAACTATGACTTATAGTTTAAAACTTATTTAATATGCGTTTATAATACGTAAAACATCAAATAGATAACTCAATTAATTGAAATGATAATCAATAGATTTCTATAATAAATAGCTGCAGACCTACTCTGAAGTTAACATATCGTTGGGGCTCCATGTATTTAGGTCCATATCTGAAACAGCAGTGTGCATAAATACTGCACATACTGCATACATAGGATAAGATAAGATAAGATAAACCTTTATTAGTCTCACAGTGGAGAAATGTTAGTGTCATCGTTGCACACATCACAGTAGAGAGAGGAAATAAGAGCACTCAGATTACACACATCAATTAAGTCTATTATCTAGATAATAGACAATAAAATTAAGAATAAGATAAAATGAGATGGGCTATAACTGCACTTGGTTCGGAAGTATTTACAGATGTTTATATTATACATTAGCAGCGGAGAATATGAGAATATGAATATGAGCAGAATAAATATGAGAATATGAATATGAGCAGAATAATGTATGTATAATACTGCATACATACACTGCCTGTTTTTCCCACAGTCATCGTCTGAACTTATCAGTGCTGGACCTGTGCAGCAGGAACCCCTGAGCTTCTCGAGGCGTATTGTCCCCTAAACCCTAAAGGACAACACAGCTGCAATCCCATCTTAATCTGGGATAAACGCGATTATTCTGCTACGGCTTGTTCCTGGCTTTGTAACAGTGACAGGGGACCACCGCAGCCCCCGTTTTCCCATGATCGAGTTAGACCAGTAAACCACTAAATATTACACAACAAATAACATCCTAGTTTTGAGTTTAGCAGTATTTATGGACTTTCATTCATTTGTTCTTTTGTAGAACATGTCATTTGTCTGCTCATTTTCACATATGGAACCTGCTAAATCTGCTTTTATTGTGTACAGAACTGATGTTAGACACACAAACACGTCTAGCCTCTGTTGTCACCAGCCCATGTCTCAAAGTGTCAGTCAAGTTCAAGTTCTCACACGTCTGGGTGTCTGTGTCGTCACTGGGGGCAGGAACGTTGTCGTGGCAGCAGTCGGGACGTCCCAACTATGTGCTGCTGAAAAGCCTGTGCGAGAGGCGCGTTCCGCTTCAGACAGGGGAGTTTTGGGGTCTTCAACAGCTGTGCGCAGAGACCCCCTCGTCTCGCTCCCCTCACAGACACTCAGACCCTGGGAACTGCGACATAACACATTCATCATCCACTCACTCATGCCCTCACGCCCCACCCTGTCGCACTTTTTTACTACCAAGTCCTACGCTGCAGTCTGTGGGGTGCTTCATTTACATATTAGTGCAAATCATAGAATATCGACTGTAAGAAAAAAAAGGCCAAGCAATCAAAGGCAAAAAGACAAAGCGTACATACATATATATCGCAGACGTTGCAGAATTCCAATATGTTATTAAAAATATACTTAAATATTTACGTTTCATTTAAATTCTCAACATTCATTCTGCACTTCAGAATACTACTTGCTGGTCATTCAAATCAATACATTTTCCCAACAAGAAGAATGTGCAACTCTGTGTATATGTTAAATAAGGGATATCTTGTGAAATTGTGCAACCACGAACGTGCATAAAAATCATCAGTCTGTGACATTAACTTTGAATCCTTGCTTCTGTGCTTAAAACCATTTTCAATAAAAGCTTTGGGCCTGATAAACTCACCTGTTTATGACTACATCAGCATTGACTCTTTTGTACTTTTTATTTGGATAATTTCTCCTGTACTTGTTATAATGTATCTGCTTTATTGAATTAATAAAATTATAAAATTCAAAGTTTTTTTTAATGTTTTTTTTATTTCCCTAGTTGGTATGTAGGTGAATAGGAAGGTTGGTAGGTGACTATTTTTTAAATGTATTTATAAAAGAACAATTATACTGGCCTGAAAAAGTACTAGAATCTGTGCATTTTGTTATGTTTATGAATATTCTTTAGCTGTGAACTAAGCAGAAAGTCTTGTAGGTCATGATTCAGATTCAGAAAACTTTTGATCCCAAAGGGTAATTCATTTGCAGGATATACTCAAAGCAGAACACACAGACTCAACACAAACACACAGTGAGTCAGGCCTCACAAATCACACAGCAGCAGGTTACACAATTTAAGTTAAAAACAACAATGAACAACATTGAGGGCACAAAATAATCTGAATCTGAGAGACAGAAGGTTTATCCCATTTGTCTTTACAAAACAACTCAAGATTTCTACAGATTGTCAATTGGATTAAGGTCCGACTTTGGGCCATTCTAACACATGATACATATACAGTACAGACCAAAAGTTTGACACACTTTCTCATTCAATGAGGTTCCTTTCTTTTCATGACTATTGACTGTAGATTCACACCCAGGCTGTGTAAGGGTTATTTGACCAATAAGGAGAGTGGTGGGTGCTGGGCCAGATGACCTGAACCCAATCCAGATGGTTTTGGGGTGAGCTGAACCACAGAGTGAAGGTGAAAGGGCCAACAAGTGCTAAGCATCTCTGGGAACTCCTTCAAGACTGTTGGAAGACCATTTCAGGTCTTCTTGAAGCTCATCAAGAGAATGCCAAGAGTGTGTGAAGCAGTAATCAGAGCAAAAGGTGCTACTTTGAAGAACCGAGAATATAAGACACATTTTCAGTTGTTTCATACTTTTTTTAAAGTACGTACATAATTCCACATTAGTTAATTCATAGTTTTAATGCCTTCGGTGTGAATCTACATTTTTCATAATCATGAAAATACAAAAAGTCTGGTGTGAGAAGGTGTGTCCAAACTTTTGGTCTGTACTAATTATATACACTTTCAAAGGCAATTTATGCAATAATGGACGTCGGCACTGGGTTGCCAAATCGGGGACCACTTTTCCCATATGCGACCTCATGCGTGCCTATGCTCACCCTGCTAACACAGCCTAACCATTATTATAGAACCATGAGCCTAACACATCGCAAAACGCGTCTCCACTTAAAGGCAAAACTATTGAAATGTCTGCGGGATGCTATTAGCGTTTGGGAGAGAGGAGTCAGGACCTTTCCTCTCCTGGGACCACGCGTGCTGACCACTCTGACCCATGCACTGACCCTACACCATGGATCTATAATGACCCTACACATGCCGCACACGTGGCCTTCACAGGTCCTTCCCTTCACAGGGCCTTCCCTTCACAGGTCCTTCCCTTCACAGGGCCTTCCCTTCACAGGTCCTTCCCTTCACAGGTCCTTCACAGTCTATCTTTCACAGGTCTTTCCCAGGTCCGAGCAGTGCGCTTGTTTCAACATTTGGCTGGCGCAAGAAGTGGTGAGACCCCCATCTTATAATTTTAACTAGTGATAAATTATCAAAGGCGAAGCAACCAGATTCACAAAGCAACAAATGAAAAGCCTTACAGTTTTATTGTGCCATAAAAACACAACATTAAAATTAAAACAACTCAAAATTAAAGTTTTCAACTACAGCCCTACCCAGTTCCACTCTATAGTGGGAACACAAACATCATGTTAAAGACTAGACCTTGGTGCAAATGCTCTGTGCAGTTAGACGAGTGCAGGTGAATCTTATATGATATCACCTCATGGCATGACATACAGTATATCAAGGCATGGTTTTGTTTGAATTTGGATAGTTAAGGCTCAGTCAGTTTCAGTGGAATTCACTGACATGGGGATGACTGCTGACGTGACAGTTGTGCAGAAAACCATAATTGACCCCCTCCATAAGGAGGGAAAACGTCAAAAGGTAGTAGCAAAAGGATGTTCTCAAAGAGCTGTATCAAAGCACATTAAAATAAAGACATCAAGAGGAAGGAAAAAGGTGCTGGATTATCAGGAAAAGACTATTCAAAAGGACAAAGAGTGGTCTGAGGCTGGAGTCAGTGCATCCAAATCCCCCACACACAGACGGATGGGCTACACATTTCTTTTATTCCTTTTGTTAAGCCGACCCTGATCTACAAACAAAGTATCTTACATGGGATAAAAAACTAAAAAACCTCTGCCCTGAGGAGAGAAAATGCTGCAGAGTCTGGAGAAGCACATAATCCAAGACGCTTCAGGTTCAGTGTGAAGTTTCCGCAGTCTGATGATTTGGGGAGCCATGTCTTCTGTTGGTGTTGGTCCATTCTGCTCTTTTGTCAACATAAGACGGGCTTTAGGGACATGCTGACTTCATTGTCCAGCAGGGCTTGGTACCTGCTCACACATCAAAAAGTTCCATAACCATCAAATTACTGTGCTTGATTTGGCTTTATGGAGCATTGCCAAAAGATGTTTGGCTTCAACAACAGGACCTTCAGGTGGGTGCAGAGGTCCTTCCTCAAGTGGAGGAGTTCAAGTATCTCGGGGCCTTGTTGACGAGAGAGGGAAGGATGGAGCGTGAGATTGACAGGCGGATCACACACACAGAACTATAGTCTATCAAGTTTATGTAATTTCTCTGTGAGCTTTGTTTTGTTTGTCCAAATACTTTTAGTTGGTTCAGTACCACCTAAGCCAATATCGTCGGTGAGTTTTTTCTTCCTTTTTTGTTTCTTTTTGTTCTTTTTGAATCATAGTTTTGGGGCAGTGTCATGTCCCACTGTTATTTAAACTTAAAAAAAACACTGGGACCACTTCACACAGACATCTGTAGTTTTGTATGACACACCGCCTGCAGTCACCAGCACCTGTTCTGTGTCAAGTGACTTAGTTTTATGGAGTCATGCCTTTTAGCCGTGAATATGTTTTTTTATTTTTTTCTCAGTAGCTCTAAGTGGAAGTGATGTATGTGGAGTGGTCAAACTGCTGCTGCAGGTGCTCTGCTCTCACGCCTTTTCATGTTTTCCTCTAAATTGGTAGAATTAGATAACGATGCCCCTTACTGTCACTGGAACAAATCCTTTCAAAACTTTTTTGTGTTATTGTTGATTGTGTTTTCACATAATCAGAGGAACTCTGCAGAGAAGACCTTCTCTGTGAGCAGCTGTGCAGCAAGAACAGCAGCACAAGCTTGTGAATACTGAGCAGTCTGCGCAGACACGATTATTCACTCATTTATATCTTCCAACTGAGTAAGCATTAGCTCTTGTGCTTCTCCTTTGCATGACAATAGCATCAGGTCCTGTGAACTTCCACCACCTATTGACCCACTCAGACATGAATAGTGATGCTCGAGGCTCCCAGCCTCTGCACAGCTTTAACCAGGCCTTAAGTCCCAATCATGGGCTTTTAATGTGTCCCCTGTCCTGCAGCTCTGCTACTGCTCCTCTGCTGACCATCTTATTTATGTAAGCTATTTCATAACAGATTGCTCTGAAAAAGATTTGCCCTGTTATATAATGCCGATAGAAAAAATGAGAGGAAAATAAGCTTTCAATGTGTTCAAGATAATGATGCAGAAGTCCTGGATCGTGTCATTGACATATACATCATTGTATTACCCAGGCTACAACCTTAAGATGACTTAACAACACATATCAATCTACCGTCTGCAGACTGTTTTAATTACCAAGTCAGTTTTATTGTAATAATATACCATACAGAGTCTTTTGTAATCTAAATAGTTTTTCTCCTCACTTATCTATTCAAACTCTACAATGTGTGGCATTATACAGATATTTTGAGGTCCTGAACTGTGTTCCTAACTTCCTGTGCCCTTTTTTCTTAGCAAAAGAGGCTATAGACTGAATCACTGCGGTGCCATCTACTGGCAAGACGTCATGCCTCATAATCCAGTCTAAGGGCCTGAGGTATGTTTCAGTAACATCTGTATTATATTATAATATTATGTAATAATATTAATAACTATAACAATATGGTACAGATATATTATATTACTACATAATTTACTTTACTTCTAAGATCAAGAACTTTATATTATGTTAGTATATTCACAAAAGGGACATTTGCTCAAACGGAATTTTCTGGGCCAGGTTCAAGTAGTAGTTCCAACTCAAGACAAATGTGTCTGACTCTTAAAAATGTGTGTCTGTGTACTTTGTGTGAATGGGCTCCCTTCATATAAAAGACAACTGCCAGAATGTGTCCATGAATGTTTCAGGACATGAACAATTTGTCAAAAACACTGGCTTCAGTTCACCAGGCCTTCAACAATCTCTGGGAACGGTTTGGTCTCTGTACAGAAGCACAAAGCACACATTTGTTTGTTCTTCCCAAACAACTCAACCATGTCCTCTAATTAACGCAACCTCTTTTTGAATATTTTTCAAATAGAGGTTAAATAGTTGCAATTATCAAATTTGGCTGTGTACTTGCGCACTCAGCAGCGATCTCTGTCTGCTCCCAGTGAACATCAGACCAGTCTTGGCAGAGCCCACAGGTGACTGTGAACATCACTACAGCACACACTACAATTACATCTACGTGGTCCATCTCTGAGCTGCATGTCTCCACATTGCCCATGTGTGCTTGTGTGCGGCAGTGTGAGGATCAGGTTTTGTGAGCCTCTGATGAGATGTGACAGGCTGGCTCACACTCAGACATCTCCAAATCTGGTGCATTTTTCTGCCTTTTCCTTTTACAATGCTTCAGTGGAGATTTCTTTATTTTAGAACGGACAATGGTCTCTTTCTCTGTCTCTCCCTCGCTCACATACACACTCACACATATGCACTTGCTCGCTGTCATGCTCATTTTGATGGTAATTAATGACATCACCGCTGCATGCTGCCGGGTAGTGTGATGGTGTGGGGGTTCGTTTGTTTGTTGAGCGGACCGTGGGAACTGGGAGCTCTCCAGGGGCGAGTCAGGGCTCAACAATACATATGCTGTTGCATTTTCCCCAAACAGCCCCTTCCCAGGAGAATCCCATGAGATTCACTCAGTCCCTGTCCCGTAAAGGTTCCCTCCAATTCTAGTCTCAGAGATGCTCTCATCCGGATTAGTTACAGTCTGAGAAGAAGTGACTGCAAAGGATTTTTAAAAAGTCCATTAATTGGACACATCAATAGATATTTTATCCATTACGCAAAAACCCAACAGAATAGATAGTTAGCTGTTTTAATTGGAGAATAAATGCAAAATATCTATTATCTATCTGACATTGTTTTAGCTGCAGGTGTATCAAGTAATTGATTGGACAGACCTGATATTCTCCTTTCAGTGGATTCTCATTGTGGCCCTTAATCATGAGTCCTTTGAATACTTTATGAAGCTCTAAGAGTTTGACCTATTCATCTTCACAAATAGACTGTGGTCCAATTAATCCTGATTGATCTGATTTTTTTTTTACAGGTGATACAGGTTCTTGACGATAGAAAGTGTTGTCTTTGTCATATCTTTTTTGTAGAGGGCTGGCAGCTTCCTGTAGTACAGACTATCACTGTGTGACTAAGTGGAAGATGCATAATTGGTCATGATGAGGTTTATTTAGCCCACAAGAGCTCTTCATATGCTCCTTACAGGCTCGGTGCAGCCACTTCAATCGGGCAGTGAGAGAATGTTATTGGTTTAGTGTATCTATAAGTACAGATGGTGCCTGCAGCCTGCTCCAATCATCTCACAAAGGTGATATAATTGCCAGGGCAGATTGGGACAAGGACCGCGCCTTTGGAGTTCCTGAGTCTCCTCATTTTTCCCATTGCACCTTTTCTCCCCTAACTCTATACAAACTGATTATGCCCCCGTTTGCCATTGTCCTATTATACCGCTCCAACAACAGGCCAATTTGTCTGTTCAGCTTGGCCCCCGCCTCCCCTCCTGCTGCGTTATTTAGCCCCTCGGAGTCTTCTCAGTGGCAGGTACTGATTAGAAGAATTTGGTGGCTGTTCGGATCACTCCTCCTCCCCAATGCAGCAGCAGCCTTTAATCTGATTACAGGCTTTCCTTTGCTTTTCACTGGAGGCCGCTCCCTGGAGGACAATAGCTTCACAAACACTGGGCAGGGTCGATTCACAGAGGGAGATTCACACTTCTCCCATGGCTTCGGATAAGAGCCAGAGCTGTCAGTCACTGAGCTGAGACATCTCTCTCCTAGGACAGGCGCTATAAACATGTGGTTAGTGATACATACAAAATAAACACATCAACAAACTAGGTGGAAGTGAATTACAGTATAATTTGTCAATTCAAGGAAAATAGCCACAGTTCTATGATCCAGCCATTCCCAAAGTCAGTAACACCGCGGCCCCCTTAAAAATCTGACGGGTCTGCACGGCCCCCGGAAATAATAACCAAGAAGACAACGTTAAAAATAGGCTCTTCTCGTTGTTTTGTTTGGGGGAAATAGTCTCTGCTACAAACATTTAAATGCCCCCCCCCCATTTTGTAATACAAAAATGATTACAATTTGATTATTCAAGTCGAATAATGAACACAAATATTTGAATATTATAAACAAAATATTAATTTAAAATACAAAAATTATATAAAAACATTTTTTTTGATGACCTCTCACGGCCTCCCCTGCAATACCCTCCGCCGCGGACCCCACTTTGGGAGACACTGCTATGATCCAACTTGAATTGTATTGCATTTCTTAATATTCTTGTCTTGAATTTGGGAAATGATGTTGATCTTTCTCATGTTGTAATGTAATTGATTGTTCTGAAGTATTGGTTTGTTTCATTATTTTGAGCTGGTCCATTTCCGGAAAAGTTTAATTTGCGTTAAATGCATCAATTCCATAATGCCAAAGGAAATCCCAAAATAATGTAGAGTTTTTGTTTGCTCATGTATATACATTTTTGTAACTTGTATTTCTTATAGAAATATTAACTTTAAAAAAGGAAAAAGAATCACTTGTGTTCTATGTTTGCTTTTATAATTATTTGTTTTAAAACTCAGAGAAACAGGAAAAATCACATTGATCTTGTGACCCTCTCCGTTCAGGTCCTTCAAACGCCTCTTTTACCAACAGAGCCATTGCCCTTTGACCTAACAAGTCTTGCACAAAGCACATGTCCAGTGTATTTAGAGATCATTAAAGCTTGTGGTCAGAGAGCGGCCTGTCCACTCTACATCAGCATCACAATGACGACAGCCCCAAAGTGACCCCCCGCTGCAGGACACACTTGACCCACACACTCCGACAGCTCTGAGGCTGTATTAACAAGATTTTTAAAAATACATGTCGTTTGTCCAAAAGAGTAAAAGTAAACTGCTGTGAACAAATCAGACTTCAACATGTCATATTCATCTCATTACTAAACTTGTCATCTTTTATGCATATTTGAGAAAAAGGCTCGTGAGTCATAGAGCTGGTGGGCTCTGTGGGGGTGGTCTTATTGTCTAGATTTTACTTCAATCACAATGAGAAATATTAAAAGTAATTTTTATTAAACTCAATTTGAAAACAGATTGATCATTAGAATTATGAATTAAAATGTTTGTCTTAACACATAAAATCTCATTCAGTGAAGTCCTAACTGTCAACCGCACAGCAATAGCATGGCTAGAGACTGTCACCTACACCTTTAGAGGAACAGTTATGTACAAATAAAATACATTTAGTTTTACATTAAAAATAAAGTTACATTTGGCAGTAAGAAAGGACATTGTAATACTTAAATACACAACCTTTTAAAAACAAGCACACGTCCGTGACCCTAGTACATTCTTGAGGATAAACTGCTTAAACATAAGGATCACTTATTGTCAAAATTACATTAAGTTACTAATTAATGTTTTCCTTTTCATATTTGTTCGAAGCGACTCTTTCGTTCACCAGTTTTGTATTACAGTAGGTTTGGTCATTCTTCATTAACTTTGCTCCACTGAGAAGTTTGATTCAGCTCTGTTGGGGAAAGAAACATGTAGGTGATCAGTTTTCCAATAGACTTAAAAGCAATGTGTTTATCTTACATGTCTTGGTGCTTGTGCATCATGTGGTTGTTGTATTCTAGCACAGGAGGAATTGACTCTTCATCTTCAGGAACCTAAAGAAGTATAAAGTGAGGCTTTATGCTCTGCGCAAGTGCTCCATCTAGTGGCCAAACGGGAACTTACCTCCCAATAGACTTCATCATCGTAGCAGTTGTCATCAGCTGGATCTCCCCAAATTGGAAACTTCAAGATAAAACCTTGAAGAACATACATTTACACAATAAGCATCTACGTGTGACAGCTGTCCATCTTTGTACTGGTCGATATTTCCCATAAATATCCTAAAGCAAATGTGGTTTCAAAACATACCAACAATAGCACCTCCAATCAGCCCAAAGGCGATAGAGACACATGTGCCTGCAGCCTGGAATCCACCCTGTGTTCCAACTCCTCGGGTTTTAAATTCCCCCACAAAGTTAAAAGTGTTGGTCAAACTGAAAATATTTAAATTAAAAACATTTAAATATGAAATTATATTTTCCCCACATGAATTCTATTGATGCGAGTTTTTAATTACATAAACCTTTTAAGTCTCATCACTAATTGTTAGTGATGGTGGGACCTTACCCCTCTTTTCCATAGACACTTTCACTCGCAGCAGCAGCCACAATGGCCCCCACAAACCCACCAAGCATGCCTGGCATCGCATGCAAGTTGTGAACTCCACACGTGTCCTGAAGCTTCAAGTACTTCTCCAGAAACGGCTGTAAAAACAAAACAAAGTAAATAGTTTGTGTCACAGACCACATCAAGCGCAGCCAGATGAATGCTTTGGATATTATTCTAAACAGATCATCTTACGGTGATAAAGAGGTAGCCAAATGTCGATATGATGCCACAGCAGAAGCCGACAATCAGAGCTCCATAAGGCATAATCATGAACTCTGCAGCAGTTCCCATGGCCACGCCGCCAGCCAGCGTGGCATTCTGGATATGCACCTGACAAAATAAACAATGGCCGTCAAAATTTGTTGTAAAAGTAAAGCATGTAACACAACAGGTTTTACAGAGCTAGTCAATGTCAGATTGCACAGAAAGTACCATGTCCAGCTTCCCTTTCTTCTGAGATATGCTGGAGATGGCCACAGTGGTGAGCACACACGAGGCCAGGGCCAGGTAGGTGTTTATGGCAGTTCGGTGCTGTCCGTCTCCGTGGTCTGTGATGGCAGAGTTGAAACTTGGCCAGAACATCCACAGAAACAGTGTCCCTGAAAGGATTAAGATCAAATGTTAAAAATCTGTTGGATGTTCCTACAACATGCATTTATTGTATTTTGGTCTTTTATCATGTTTATACATTATAGAAAATTGTATGTACATTTTCCACTTACCAATCATTGCAAACATATCAGAGTGGTAGACAGAACCTATGAGTTGCTTGCTTTGGTGTAAATTGGGCCGATACAGGACCCAGGAGATGGCCAGACCGTAGTAACCGCCAAAACAATGGATGACCATGGAGCCACCAGCATCACGACACTGAAAATGCATTCAAGACATAGAGTCAAAGAAGATATGTGAAAGGTGTTTGATTTGAACGTATGCTTACATGAAGGAGGTCGAGGATGATGTATTCTTCCACAGCAAACAGTGTAACGCCAAACAAAGTGACCACCAACAGCTGGACAGGGCTGACTTTACCCAGGAGCGCACCATAGGCGATCAGAGAACCAGCGCAGCAGAAGTCAGCATTGATCAAACTGTCACAAAAATAACCAAAAGTCAAAATTTTTCCAGTGCCTTTAGATCTTAGGTGTGTGGTGGGAAGGATGTATATGACTGATGTGGAGAAACAGGACGGACAGGTTCTAAGGTTAGACTGAGACACGAGATCATGCTGAATAAGGCTGCCATGAACTCATCAATGTATGTGGTTTTAAATCATTAATCATTCTTACAACACTGCAATTACAGGAAATGACACTTGTTTGGCACAGTTTATAAAGCTGATTTGACTTGCCTTTCAATACCAATGGAGACTTTCCCCGTGGCGGGATCGAGAGAGTGGAACCAGCCCTGCATGAGAAGAGCCCACTGCAGACCGAAGGATGCAATCAGGAAGTTAAAACCCACTCCACTAAAACTGTACCGCTTCAGGTACGTCATAAGGAAACCGAATCCAACAAAGATCATGACATGGACATCTTGGAAGCCTGGAAAATGAAACAAAAATTCATGTTTTAGAGTTTAGTTCGTTAGTTAGTATTGTATAGTATAAAATGTTATTGCCTCCATCCCCTTTTACTTGGACATAATCAGTTTCTGTTATGTTGCATTGGGTAATTGTTTTAGTGTACGTTTGAAATAAAAGAAATTAAACAATTGAGATGAGACAAAAGTTGAATAGAATTGTTTATGGCCCCTTCAAAATGAGCATTATAGATTAATGAACTAAACAATAAAACCAAGCTGCGACAATAACAACTATGATGAGAGAAGCCGGTTGCATTAATGGGATCAAAGTAAATATTAGCAAAGCATGGACATAACACAGCATAGCATCATACATATTTCATTTGTCATATTTAGGCAGCTAAACTCGTGTTTTTGCTTTGTTTATTGCATGACTAAGAAAAAGCTATTGTATTTCCCTTGATGCTCGGTGAAAGGCCTTACTGGGGTATCTGAAGTAGAAGTCATTCTCGATGTCACTGGTGATGTTTTTCCTGCGCCTGTGTTCCACCCAGTGGGTATCAGACTCCTCGTCATAGCGGATGAAGACGCCGAACAGCACGATCATAGCGATCTGCCACACGAAGCACACGGCGGGCAGGCTGATCCGGACATTGGTGTTCTTCTGCGGGCCCAGGTACGCGCAGCAGTTGCCCATGTTTGCGGCAGTGATGGATGCGCTCCGGGAGAGTCGTTCGTGTTCTCTGACTTCAGTGCGTCTCACCTTTAACTTATATGGCGTGTGAGAGGGGTGTGCCCGGGGGCTGGGCCGGGGCTAGACACCGGGATCACCGGGATCACCTGTCAACTAATCACTCATGAGCAGGGGCGTTCACAAGGACAGGATCATAGGCGGGGAAACGGGGGACCTCACTTTTGTTTTCATAAATAACACGTGTTTGTCCCAACAAACAAAGTTAAATGTTGTGGGCGGGAAAAATCAGACCACAACATTTAGTCTTATTAGAAAACATGTTTGTTTCACTGTGAGTCACTATTTGATGCTTTTGGATGAGAGCTGATCCAAATTCAATTTTATTTATTCTAATTTATTTAATTTATCTTATTTGACATTGCACAATGTGTTTTACAGACCAAACTAGATAGTTTTTTTCCGTACTTCGGCAGATGCAAAGTAAGCGTAAAATGTAACACCATTAACCACCAATATATAACATTTTTACACTCTATAAAGATGTGACAGAGGCAAAATAATAAATATACACAAAGAATAATATATACACATGGATGGACACATACATACACATAGGCATACACTCACACACTCACGCACCCACACGTACATACACACAGGTGCATACAAACTCACAAACGCGGATGTGAATACTAGTGATAGAACTAGGGCTATAACAAATAATAAATTATTTTTATAATCGATCAATTTAAGTATTACCCTTTCAATGTTTCCATTAGTTGTTTAGAATGAAGACATGTGATTTCCATTTCAAATGAAGAAGCTGAAGACAAATATGCATTTGTTTTATTTTTGTAATTACTGATGTTTGAATCACAGCATGTGTTGGTGTCTAACTAGAGCAGTTAATGATTATTCATTTTAGGAAAATTAGTTATTTGCAATTAATCAATTATTGAATCAATAAACTAATAAGTTGACAATAAATGGCTTTTGCACTGAACTTACACTTAAATATGTTGAGGAGAGGTTTTATGACTCCTTCTATAATGACTGCAGAATGAAAGTGTATCATACACGAGGAGACTCAAAGTACTTCACAAAAGAAGAAAAGAAACACAAAAATCACACAAGGCATTGTATGCACAGCCAAAATATTATTATTTTTGGTTACAAATCAACTTAGTGTTTTAATAAGTCATCAAGGTGTTCTCCAGAGGCATCACTTGAGCTTTGTTTGGGTCAAATGTAGAAGAAAACCTTTCAGGATGTAAACAACTATTCCATTAATTAAAATAGTAATCAGTCATTTATTCAGTATTTTTTATGTTGTTCTTTAAATCATTAACTAAGAACTGTTTTGAGAGAAAGGAACTCATTATTACATAGATTTTATTAAAAGCCAATATCACATTTTAGAGCCAATACATTTCACTAAAACATTCTTGAGGATATGTGAGATTTGACTCTCACATATATTTGATCTTTCCAATTGCTCTTTATTTTTCTGTGTTTGGTCAAGTTTATGCTGTGACTTCCTGGTTGGACATGGGAAGTGACATTGAGATAGTTACCAACAAATACAGCTACAAATAGCGCCTGTTGGATGAGCATCTAAACTGTACACACAGAGATTTTAGCATAAATTGTCTGATTGCTAAAATTCAACAATACTTTCTATATACATTTTTAATGACTCGTTATACTGCTCTCTTTTCCACCAAAACAAAGTCAGTAGTATTTTCACATCACACTGTGAGGCTGCCTGCACAGCAGTCAGAGGTGTGATACCCTACACTCTCCACAGCGGCTTAAATTTCAGGCCATTTATCTTCATAAGCCAGACGTTGGCTCCAAGTGTTGTTTTACCCTTGGTTTCATCCATTAAAAATGTACAATAAGGAAATGTCTAAAATAATGCACATAAATAATTGTTGTTTGTTCCAAACCCACTCAACCACTCAGTTTAGCACTGCACTGTGGCGACCGCGGACTGCTTCTAACAGAAGTCCTAATGGCACGTATACATACATATACAGTATATATATATATATATATATATACATATACAGTATATATATATATATATATATATATATATATATATATATATATATATATATATATATATATATATATATATATATATATATATATATATATATATATATATATATATATATATATATATATATATATATATATATATATATACATATACAGTATATATATATATATATATATATATATATATATATAATATATTTTAAAAAACACACACATGACATGTTATGTAATTTTATTTGCCTTAAAATAACCTTACAGCTGAGAGTTTAAACCATGTGACTACAATGTGTCACGCATGTGTTTTAAATCAAGATACCAGAGAGACAAATACCTGCCGAGGCTTTGTCATTACCACTGACACTGAGAACATTCCAGATTGTATCTTTTATTCTTATAAAACTCACTTTGTATGAGTGATTGTATAATGTTTATATTCTCATATTTAGCAGCGTAATGGAAATGTCTTGATGATTTTTTATAATATTGTAAAAATACTCAGAGTTAATTTGTAGCATTCTTGCTGTTTCATCTCTGTAAATATAGAAATATAGAAAAATAGAAATGCACTGACTCGGTACCAAAATAGGAAACAAAGTAGCGTAGTTGCTACATGAGCTGTAATATTTTACATTGATTTATTTGTTATTGATTTTGTTATTTCTCTATCTCTTTCAGGGTTCCACCTTCTCAAATCTACTTCTTGAAAATAACTCTCCGCCTAAACATGAACATGTGACAATGGAGTGGAACTGGTTCATTTGTTGTTTAATGAAGTCTATTCATGCTTCAGGCTTGAGGTGTCATTAATATTTTCCCTCATGACTTAAATGACTTAATTTTGCATCACATTTTTGAAGTAGTTTTCGGACTATGTGTGCAACAATGCCTTAGAGAAAGTCCACATGAGTAAAGTGCAACAACAATTTAGGTAATCCATCAATTGATTTCTGAATTAACTTACAAATGTCAAGGATAATTACAGTGAGATGCTGCACACTAACAGCAGCAGAGTTACCTGCATGTGGAAATAGTTGTAACAAAAGGAGTATAATGATGACTTCAGATGGTTATCGTTTTCATGGCATCTGAGTTATGTCCTCAGTCACATGGTGCGGCAGGCCTAAGTTTGGATTGATGTGTCTGTAGATAAAGCGATCGTCAATCATAATGCATCAACAATAGTCACACAGACACGGGACCTATCCATGAAGAGAAGTCTATTCCTAAAGGCCAGCACCGAGTCCTGTGGAGTGGCTGCTCTAAGCTAGTACACTTGAAAAAAACGAATAATCTAATTTGTTAAACTGATGTACCAATATATTTGTAGTGACCAATTTGCATTTACAAAATAGATTGATTGAAAATCCAACCAAAGTACCTGTGTGATATTCACCTCCTAAAGTATGTTATGCACCACCTGCATGAGAGAGCCTGATCCTGTCAGACCTCAGAAGCTAAGCAGGGTTGTTACTGTGAAAGAACAAAGAAAAGAGAAAGGAAACACAAACAAGATAGTACTGTGATGGGAGATCTCTGGCTCTGGGACCAGCAGGGGCCACCGTGGGGCTTTAGCAGCCGTATAAAGCCAAACTGTCACATTGCCTACTGTCAGTCTGTGCGTGAGTGAATGATTGATGGTTGTCGAATTCTGACCAATATTTTGATCAGAATAATTTGGTGCTATGACTGCCATAAATCAGTTGAAAACATTTTGCTTGTTAAAACCAAAATATTTGCTGAACTCATAACTACCAACTAAGGTTAAAACAGCAACAAGAACAAAAACTGAAAGAAGAATTACCTTAAAGTGGAATCTGTTTTTGGACTAAAGCTACTGGGAAAACAATTACTCACTCACTAATTTGAGAATGTCCATAGCGCTCTACAATAATAAGAAGTTGAGATTACTCGTAAATATGCTTCCAGATTTGTGAATGCACACAGTAAATGTGTATGCACACTTCTGTGTGTTTAATCCCATGAAGCAAACAAAGCATTATACTAAACTAAACAATAATATCTTTTTAGGGGCCAAAGAGCTACAAAATCCAGAACACTTAGTAGTTAACTAGATAAGTCTGTTTCACATATTTTTCACAAATACTCTGGTCCTTAAAGGGTGAACAAAATATAATAAATGCAATTAAAACACAAAACTAATTTAAGATTATTGTCATAGCTGTTATCAATTGAAATATCAATAATATGTTACAAATATATTGATTTCTTTTTTGCAGTGATTATCTGCACATCTTTCATCACTTGATACAATTGACAGCCATTCTACATATTTGGCATGAGATTGAAGAGCAGGATTATGTGGTAACTGATCTCACACAGTTTATAACACCCGGGCTGTGCTCATACATATTTGCGCCATTATGAGAGTGGTTAAGGAGCGCCACAGCAGGATCAGGACACCTTCACTCACGCTCACTCAGGTACACTCTCCCATGAAGTAGCCACAAAAATGTTTCGAAAACAAGACGAATTAGTCAAAGAAGTCAAACTCTCTTTATCTGATGGTGACTGTAGAGGGAGGAATCTGCTCACGCTGCTGTAACGTGTGACTGTGATGCCACCAAGATTTGTGACAGTCAGCCAGTCGCCTGTGGCTCTGTTGAAATGTGATCGTCAGATACAGACTCCATGTTCACTTTTGTGGACTGAGGCAGAAGATACTGTAATGTAAACAGGTATAAAGGTGGTAAGCACTCTTGTTTTTCATCATAAAGGTCCTGGGTACGAATCCCGGTCGGAACAGGGCTTTTCTGAGAGTTTGCATGTTTCTGAAATCTCACAGGGATTTTTCTGGTTAAATAAAGATCAATAAATACTGGCGAGTAAACACAAAAACAGATGTTACATGAATGGAATATTTAAATCTGTGTGCAATGTTCTTTGTTTATGAGAGTTTTTGCAGTTGATATTAACTG